AACAAGAAGTGCAGAAGCAGTTTTACCATTCACACCTCTATTTGCTCATGGGCTCTTCCTCATTCCAGAGAATTATCTGATAATTGTGTTTGCTCAAGTTTAGCCCAGTACAGTCAGCAAGATGACTCAGGGAGGAGGCAGTATGGCATTGACACTCAAAAAAGGTATGTGCAGTCATTTTCAAATTTGGAAAGCTAAGAAACAAGTTTTCACAGAAAAAATACACAAGAGATGGTCACTATTCTACAAGTCATAGACTTCAGTCTGGTATTCTCAGACAGCTCTCTTGCTGCTTCCTTCATAATATGAGACCATCACATTTCCAAAATACTCTTTTCTGCTACTTAGAATACTTTGCTCCAGTTATATTGCAAAGAGCTCTTACCCTTGGCAACAACTAGCCTCATAGTTGCCAAAGCTCTAATTGTATATAATTTGCATTATAAGAAACAGTTACTAATTTTGCTCAAGTTGCCTTTTGCCACTAAGGAGAATTAGGAGTACTTTCACAGGTGAAGGAAGGGGAAATGAAAAAAAAAAAAAAAAAAAAAAAAAAGTGGGATATGCCTTTTTGCATGTATCCCAAAATGAAGAGTCAGGATTCATATGCTGGAACTTCAATTACCTTTCAAGAAACTGGGGATCCAGAAGCTGGATGATTAGGTTTTAAGTAGCTGAGGGTACTTACTCCAATAAAAGACAAGTCTGTGGGAAAAAAAAAAAAAAAAATGCATTTTCTTCATGAAGAGAATACCACGAAATTGGGAATCTTAATACTTTCCAGAAATCTTGTGGTAAGGATTTGGTCCTAAATCTTGAGAAATTATAGGATCCTGAGACAGTAAGTCAACTCCAAGAACTACAGGAGAGGATGTGAATGTTATCACCTGTCATTAAGAAGCAAATACCCCAAACCGATGTGGTGACAGCAGCAGCAAGAGGAGAGGACGCACAAGCAGGCAGAACTGTCTGTCAAACTCAAGTGCAGGAAGAAAGGGCAGAGCTGGAACCTGTAAAGACAGGGTGATAGAGGACAGATGATGTAATAAGGGAGAGGATGAGTTGAAAACAGTCAAGGAAGTGGAGAGCATCAAGAAAGGAGTTATTTCATGCAGTGGAAAGAAATTGCCAACAGGACAGAAAGCAATCTTTCCATTTTGGAAAGAACCTTTTAGCAAAGCGGTGCTCCCCAGCCCACTATTTGGCCATCATCCTGCAAAACAGTATTATATTTTTTGGATTTTCACACCTCCTTAGGCATAATGTACTGATTCTTCACTGTTTTTCATTCCTGCATAGAGTCATTTTTAAACATATAAAGTGTTGGAGAATATCAGAACTCCAAGCGCGTAATAACACATGTAGGATTTCAGAGCTTTATTAATTTAATAAGAAGCTTTATTAACAGTAATCAGAGGGAAAGAATGGCAGCATCTCTCTCTTGTGTTCTCTACCCGATTGCAGAGACCCGATTTACACACTGTTTCAAAGAAAGGAAAGAGGTAAGGAAAAAACATTATAACATTAACAAAGTCAAGTGTGCTTTCCTGGGAAGGATGGATGCCAGAATATCATTTAGATCTTAAGAAGAAGGAAGTACCCATTCCTGGAAGGGGTGGACTCCTTAAGCATCTTGTTAACTGCCACAATTGACGCCCTGGTTAGACATGTAGGAGTGTCAAACCCAGTATTATTAGCTCAGAAAACAGGAATAATCAAACTGCTAGGTTTTGGTTGAAAGCAATGTTCTTTTTGCTAGGTGAACTTCTTCATCAGGCATCTTATATCTTAAATATTGGTGTTTTGTTGTTGTTTTTGTTTTATTTTGTTTTCCCACCACACAGGGACTCCATTTTTAGGACACATTTCAATTCTGAAATGTTCATTTAGAAGCCAGCCTGGAGTTTTTGTGTCACAGGCACTGCAGAGCCTGCAGGGTGTTAAACGAGGTGCAGAGTGTGCCTCCTGCAGCCACCGCAGCCCACGCCAGCACATATCCCAGTGACAGTGTCCCAGAGGGGGTGAAGTGAGATTAATATGTATATATTCCATTAATATAAGTACCCTAGCAGTAACCCTTGGTGTGCAAGCTAGGAGGAGCAATCCCTCTTGCACCCAGTGCTGCAATAAACATACCGGCTTTATAACTCTCCTCAAGTTGTAAAGTTTGATTTCTGTACCTCACAGCTGATACAACAGAAGTAAGGGAAACCCTCCAAAGGGACCTGGGAAAAAGTTTGGGAAGTGGCCCCTCATAAACATAATGAGGTTCAACAAGTCCAAGTGCAAGGTGCTACACCTGGGTCAGGGCAGTCCGAGACATAAGGACAGACTGGGAGAAGAACTCATTGAGAGCAGCCCTGCAGAGAAGGACTTGAGGGTTCTGGTGGATGGAAAGCCTGCCATGAGCCAGCAGTTTGTGCTTGCAGCCCAGAAGGCCAACTGCATCCTGGGCTGCATCAACAGAAGAATGGGCAGCAGGTGGAGGGAGGGGATTGTCCCCCTCTGCTCCACCCTTGGGAGGCCACATAGCATCATTAAGGTTGGAAAAGTACACACTTGAAGTATTGCATCCATATCCAGCAACACCAACACAAAAAGGATGTTGATCTGTTAGAGTAGGTCCAGAAGAGGGCCACAAAGATGATCAAGGGGCTTCTTCTCCTATGAAGACAGGCTGAGAGAGCAGGGGTTGTTCAGCCTGGAGAAGGCTCTAGGGAGACCTCATTGCAGCCTTTCAATACTCAAAGGGGACTGATGAATTAATGGAGAGCAACTTTTTACATGAACAAATAATGATAGTACACTGGCGGATGGTTTTAAACTAAAAGAGAGGAGATTTAGATATTAGGAGGAAATTCTTCATTCAGAGGGTAGTGAGGTACTGGGACAGGTTGTGCAGAGAAGTGGATGCCCCATCCCTGGAGATGTTCAAAGACCAAGTTGGACAAGGCCCTGGTCAACCTGATCTAATGGGTGGCATCCCTGCCCATGGCAGGTGGATTGGAACTGGATGATCTTTAAGGTTCCTTCCAACCCAAGGCATTCTATGTTCCCTCAAGTACCTGGCATGGCTCCTCTGTCCACCTGGAACCCCTCCCCAGACTCCAGGCCCCTTACCCACTTCAAAGGTCACCCATTGACTAGCTGATCCAGCTTGAAGCTCACTGCAAATGCACACTCATCCCTCATGCATGCCACAGTCACAAGTGTCCCTGGGCATAGCAGCATGATTCCCTGATTCCCACCTGATTCCCTGGCCTGACACCTCAGCCCAGACCCAAGGCCCCCATTACTCGCTGGCTTGTCCAGCTTAAAGTTTGCAGGTGAATGCACGTGTACACCCCATGCAGGCCAGTTTGGTGAAGATGCAGATGCTCAGGCCCCCCAGCAGCCAGCACCAGGCTGTGACCCATGGCCCTGATCCAGCTGCTGGTGCAGAGCCTGCACTCACCTCACACCAGTTGCCCCCAGCAGCTCTTTGGGAGCACACAATGCTCACTCCCCATGGCTGGGAGGAGAAGACCCCCCACTCACTCCAGCAGCTGATGCCAGGACCCCACTGGACCCAGTAGGTGGCACCACAGGCCAGGTGCCCACTCCTCCAGTCAGACTGGCACACAGTCCACTCAAACAAACACACACAAACACCCCTGAGTTAAAAGCAAAATAATGAGAAAGAAGTAGATAGGACAGACTGCGGTGATCAGATGCAAAGCAGACAAGTGTACATCCCATTTTGCCTGTGAACCACCATTTTACACTTTTTCTGCCTGCCCCCCCTATGTTCCTCCTGCTTCCTTTTCAACTTGCACTTCCTACATGGGTTTGCAGTGCTCTGCAGTTTCCTGTATCCCTCACAGTCCAGGGTCCCCTGGTTTACAGTCTTATCTGTTGCAAAGTCCATGTTGATCCGCCTAGAAGTATTTTGATAGCTCATCAACTAGTGTGACTGAGAGTGATTTTTTTTTTCTTGTCATTGTCTCCATGTTTGTTTTGTCAGGTCTTTGCCTTAGCATTTTGCATATTGTTCCCCTTTCTTTTCTTATCAGCCTGATCCAGAAATCCTCACTCAGAAACCATTGCTTGAATCAACAGTCCCACATCCTGTCTCTTCTCTTATTTATTACAACTGTACAGGTTTGTTTCTGGTCAGTCTACTAACTTAAAAGTCCTTGATCAAGATAAACCTGCTGGAATAAACCTTCCACATTCTCACATGCCCTTACCAATCAGTGTGACCAGACACCAGAGATACTGAAGGGAAGCAACAGAAGGGTAATCCTTGCAGGTCCAGCCAAGACTACACAGGGTTACACTGACAACTGCAGCAACTCTGATCCTGCAACTCCCTTCCAGAGAAGTGGGACTGTAAAACTTAGCATGCCAAGGCAATATAGACCTATCTCTACAAGATACCTTAAAGGAGGCTGTAGTGAGGTGGGGGTTGGCCTGTTCTCCCACGTGCCTGGTGACAGGACGAGGGGGAATGGGCTTAAGTTGCACCAGGGGAGTTTTAGGTTGGATCTTAGGAAGAACTTCTTTACCGAAAGGGTTGTGAGGCACTGGAACAGGCTGCCCAGGGAAGTGGTGGAGTCACCATCCCTGGAAGTCTTTAAAAAACGTTTAGATGTAGAGCTTAGGGATATGGTTTAGTGGGGACTGTTAGCGTTAGGTCAGAGGTTGGACTCGATGATCTTGAGGTCTCTTCCAACCTAGAAATTCTGTGATTCTGTAAGACCCTTTAAAGGTACTTAGCAGCAGTACTAAGTATGCTCCATGAGTGCATCCTTCCCAGGAGATGAAACAAATGGCTGAGAATTGTTGTGTAAGAAGAGATGATGAACTTCTTTCTGGTTCTTTAAGTGGGAGAATGTCAGATTATGTGATAAAAGCTCATCTACCCAGCCACAAAGGAACACAGAAGCATGATGACAGGTGGTCATACCCTGCAAAACACACTCTGATGTCACTGCCCCCAACCCCACCATCACTTTGACTTTACAGCTGCAATCTATTTGCTTTATTCTGAGAAAAGGAAACACATGAAGAGGGATGGGAGGTTCCAGCTGCTCAGGACACCCAGGTCTCTGGGGAAGGCCCAAATGCCTGGGTCCTCAGAGGGCAGAGGCTTGGGAATTGGAGTTTTCTGGAGGAGCTGCCAGGCCCAGCAGCCCCCGGGCGGTGGTAAAGAGGTTGAGGGGTGCAGCACCATCGGTGATGAGGGTCGACTGGAGTCCCAGGCCTTGCAGCAGCTTCACCTGGAGATGGGCACAGTGCTGGTCATCCCTCCCAGCACACCACAACCCTGGCAGACCATACCCCCTCCGGCAAGTCCAAGCAGGCACTGCCTCCTGGAAGCCCTGTCCTCCTTGAGCCGCTTCCCCACTCAGACCTGCCCCATGGAGACCCCGCCCCATGGAGACCCCTACCAACAGCCTGCCCCCTGAGGCTCAACACCCACAAAGCCCCACCCGCTCCCAGGGATCCAACCCCCCCAAGCCAGAGCCCAGCCTCTGCAGCCTCCACCCCTCCAAGAGCCCATACCTGATGCCACGCCTCCCACCAAATGGCCACACCCCTCTTAGGCCACGCCCTACTCACCTGCAGCTCAGGCCCAGCCCGGGCGATGTCCCGAATGGTGTCGGGACCCAGGGCCTTGGCCACCTCCCGCACCCGCGAGGCCTCCACATCCGCCAGCGCCTGTGCCCGTGCCGCCTCCACCTCCGCCCGCGCCCGCTGCGCCTGCACCTCCTGCGCCTGCACCTGCTCCAGCCGCTTCAGCTCCGCCTCCTGGGGGTGGAGAACGCATAGGGCCCGCCCCTTTTGCTCACAGACACGCCCACCCGCCACAGGCCCCTCCCACTGAGCCCACAGGCATGCTGCTCATTGGTTAAATGCCCCATCAATGGGCCCCGCCCCCTCCCTTCAGGCCCCACCCCCTTCCCTTCAGGCACCGCCCCCTCCCTTCAGGCACCGCCCCCCTCCATTCAGGCCCCGCCCCCCTCCCTTCAGGCCCCGCCCCCCTCCCTCCAGGCCCCGCCCCCCACGCACCGTCTCTATGGCGATAGCCTCAGCCTTGAGCTTGGCCTGGAGGATGGCCGCTTCGCCCTCGATGCGGGCAGCCTCTGCCCGGGCCTGAGCCTCTGCGCGTGCCACCCCCGCGCTCTCCACCGCTGCGCTGTGGGGCTGCGTCACACACCGCGCCCGCCACGGGCCGCACCCCCTCCCACCACGCCTTCCGCCCCCAGCCCCACACCTCCGCCCCAGTGCCCTCGGGAAGATGGAGGACCACAGGACCACCCTTGGGAAGCTGCAGAGCCCCAGCACACTGTGGGGGGATGGAGGGCCCCGGTACACCCAAACCCACTGAGGAAGACCTCAGTACTTGCTGGGAAGGTGGAAGACCCCGGTGCCTGTGGGCAAGCAGAAGCCCTCAGAGCCCCCAGGGCAGTGCATAACGAGGACATGGCTGACCTGAGAGCCTCGAGCTCCAGCAGTTCTCTGCGTGCCCGCTCAGCCTCAGCCTGGTCAAGGAGGCGCTGTCGTTCCAGGCGTCCTCGGGCCTCCTGCGCTAGGCGCTCTGCCTCATGCCTGTTGACAGAGACCAAGGGATGCGAGATGCATCCCTTTGTTAGGCATTGGAATGGGCTGCACAGGGAAGCGGTGGAGTCACCATCCCTGGAGGTCTTTAAAAGACGTTTAGATGTAGAGCTCAGGGATATGGTTTAGTGGGGACTGTTAGTGTTAGGTCAGGGGTTGGACTCGATGATCTTGAGGTCTCTTCCAATCTAGACAATTCTGTTATGTATGGGACACTGGGGACAGGGTGGGACACAGGCTACGCTGGAGATATGGGGGAAACTGGGGGTGTGGGGAGGCAATGAGGATATGGGGCATGTTGGGAACATGGGGAAACAGGGCATGCTGAGGGTATGTGGCATGTAGGGGATGTGAAAACACATGGAAGGAAGTTTTGGGACATGGGGGATATGGAGGACATTTGAGGACATGAGGGATGTGGGGAAGACAGACGGGGATATGGCAACACAGGGCATATGGAGAGCCAAAAGTAAACATTTGGGGACATGGAGGGACTTTTGGAGAATCAAGGGAGACCTGTCATTGGCCTCCTGGGAGTTAGTGGTGATCCTAACAGCAAACTGTGAGGTGCACTGGAGAAAGACATGGGACATGAGGACTTGGTGGGACATGAGGTGACATGGGGAAACATGGGGACCTAGCAGCAGCCTCCTGGGAGTTGGTGGCAATCTCGATAGCCAGCTGGACACTGCGCTGCAGGGCATCGCGGGTGCGCTGGTCCACAGGCTCCACACTCTGGATGTCGACGCTTGTCACCACCAGCCCATTGGGGGCAAAGCGGAGCTGCTCCCGCAAACGCCCACTCTCATCGAAGCCAAACACAGCTGAGCAGATGAGACGATTTGAGTTCTGGGGACATTGGGGACATCAGCGTCACTTGGGGATGTTGAGGCCGTTGGGGCAGTGGGGACACAGGGGAACATACAGGGCTTCATCGATGCCAAACAGAGCCAAGCAGAACAGCCTGTTTGAGTTCTTGGGGCATTGGGAAATTCCTGATGTCCCCAGTGACTCTTGGGCACATCAGAGGCTCAGGGGGCCAACAGAGACCCAGGGTAATATGCAGGAGCCACAAGGTTATGCCGAGTGACACAGAAGGGGCACATGTAATGTTGGGGGGGATGTTGAATCTGAGTGGACCATGGTCACACATGCAACATAGGAAGACATGTGGGGGCATAGGTGACACAGGATGGTGCACCAATGACCCAGAGTACCATGGCGGGAGGAGGGGGTGGAGGCACTGGTGATGCAGGTGAAAGTGGGGGTACTTGGGCTTGACCAAGGGAAAATACGTATGACCAACAAGACCTTGTGGAAGTCATCAAAGGTGACGGCAGCAACAGCACCACGCACACGGGAGGCCAGGGCCTTGCAGGCATCACCCACAAAGTCAGGGACACTGAAGAGGCGCCCCAGATCTTTCGGTTCTTCTGGTACCTCGAAGTGCCTGCAAGGAAAGTGTCCTCAGGTCTCTCCCACCCCAGAGTGCTCCCACCCTGGTCCTTGATCCTGGCCTGATCCTACTCCCACTGCCATAACCCACCTCTGTCCCAGAACCACCAACCAAAGGCCAAAGCATCAGGCTCTACCCAACAGCCAAGCTGCACCTCCTGGCTCTAGCACGTGCTCCCTAACTAAAGGTTTTGTCCCCAGTGATGACCCAGGATCTGGTCTGTCCCCATATTGTAGTCAGTGCCTCCACCAGATCCCGCCCCACCTCCTCCTCGTCCTCCTAGCCCAGTCCTGCCCAAGCAGCATCACTGCCCAATAACCCCAACGCCACCCACAGCCTAACCATGACCCCACAGCCCAAGTCCTGACCCCACAGGGCTCAAGGCCCTATCCCCAGTGTCCAAGACTATCCCAAATCCAACCCCACCCCCAGCCCCTAGCCATGTCCCCAAGCCTCACACCCAATCCCATCCCACACCATTTACCTGAGATGACTCCAGGCCCCCACCCTCATCACCCACCCCCATGGCCCACCAACATAAGCCTCACCCACCAGTTGTAGGCCAGCTGGAGCTGGAGGCGGGCATGGTCAGCAGTCTCGATGGTCACGATGTCAGCACAGAAGTCAGGGCCAAGGCGGAGGCAGAGGCTGCGTCGGGCATGGGGCCGCTTGGGGCGGCCTGCTGAGAGGGACAGGACCGTCAGCTGCTCCCCAGGACCCAGCACCACCAGTTCAGGGCCCAGCACCACCCTGCAACACAGAAAGAACATGCCAAAGCCATGACACACAGGTCCCAGCACTGTCACATGCACCATGGAGACCAATACCACCCTGGCACATCAAGGACACGCTGTGACACATGGGTGAAGGCACAGTCACACTGGAGCCCAACACTCCCTTGTGTTGTAACAAGAACACGGAAAGGACATGGGTCACATGCTGAGGATACAGATCACAAGATGGGGACACACCAAGGACTTATCACAGAACCACAGAATCCCAGACTGGTTGATGTTGGAAGGCAACTCTGGAGATCACCTGGTCCAAGCCTCCTGCTCAAACAGGGCCACCTAGAGCCAGTTGCCCAGGACCATGTCCAGACAGCTTTTGAATATCTCCAGGGTGGGAGATTCCACAACCTCTCTGGGCAGCCTGTGCCAGTGCTTAGTCACCCTCATAATGAAAAAGCAAGAGGGAATCTCTTATGATTCAGTTTGATCCCATTGTCTCTTGTACTGGCACTGGGGACCACTGAAAATAGCCTGGCTCCCTCTTCTTTGACCACCCCGGCACTCAGGTATTTATCTACATTAATAAGGCCCAAGCCTTCTCTTCTCAAAGCTCCAAAGTCCAGCTCCCCCAGCCTTTCCTCCAGGAGATGTGCTCCAGGCCCTTCATCATTTCTGTGGCCCTTCATTGGACTTTCTCTGCAGGATGGGCAGGTCTCTATTGTAATGAGGAGCCCAGAACTGGATGCAGTGCTCCAGGTGTGGCTTCACCAATGCTGAGCAGAGAGGTGCATTACCTCAACCTGCTGGCAACACTTTGCCTAATGCAACCACTAGCTGTCACTGTGGCAAGGGCACATTTCTGGCTTATGTTGGACTTTGTGTCCACCAGGACCACATTTTGCAGAACATTTTCTGCAAAGTTGCTCTGCAGCTGGGCAGCCCCAGCATAAATGGTGTGTGGGACTGTCCCTCCCTAGGTTCAGGACTTTGTAGTTGTCTGTGTTGAACTCCATGAGGTTTCTGCCTGTCCAGTTCTCCAGCCTATCCAGGTCCATGCCCTCCTGTGTTACGGCAGCGGGACCCTCTGGCATCTCAGCCACTCCCCCCAGCTTTGTATAAATCACAGACTGGCTGAGGATCCACTCTGCCCCCTCACTGTCCAGATCATTACTGGAGGTGTCAAATATGTCTGGAGTGAGTACTGACCCCTGGGGTACACCACCAGTTACCGGCCTCCAACCAGACTCCATGCCACTGGTCACCACTCTCTGGGCTCAGCTGCTGAGCCACTCTTCGGTCCACCCTGTTCTGTGCTCATCCAGCCCAGGCTGCAGCAGCTTGCCTGTGAGGATCTTATGGGGGACTGTGTCAAAGGCCTTCCTGAAGCCCAGGTAGACCATATCCACCGGTCTCCCCTTGTCTACCTGGCCAGTCATTTCATCACAGAATGCTACCAACCATGTTCATCAAGCCTGACTTCCCCTTGGTAAATCCACGCTGACGATGATTTTCTTGTCCTTCCTGTGCCTGGGGATGGTTGCCAGGATTAGCTGCTCCATCACCTTCCAAGGGATCGAGGTGAGGCTGATGGGCCTGTAGTTCCTTGGCTCCTCCTTTTTGCCCTCGAAGAAAAGTGTAGCACTTGCTTTCCTCCATTCTTCAGTCATCTCTCCCAGTTGTCATGACCGTTCAAAGATCACCAAGCAAGGTGTTGCAATGACATCAGCCAGCTACTTCAGCACTTGTTGTTGCACCCCATCAGGGCCTATGGAACTATATATACACCCAATTTGCCTAAGCATCCTCAAATCTGATCCTCTGCCACCAAGGGCATGCTTTACTCCAGGCTTTCTCCCTGGTCTCCAGAGCCTAGGATACCTGAAGACTGCTGTGTCTAATGTAGACTGAGGTGAAGGTGGTATTCATTCCCACAGCCTTTTCTACATCCTGTGTCACTAGGTCCCGTGCTTCATGCAGCACTGGGCCCATATTTTCTTTTGTCTTCCTTTAGCCCTTTCTGTACTTGTAGAAGCCCTTCCAGTTACCTTTGACATCCATTGCCAGATTGAGCATTGCCTTTCCAATCTGCAACCCTACATGCTTGCACGGTGTCTCCATTTTCCTCTTAGGTTACCTGTCCCTGCTTCCATTTTCTGTATGTTTCCTTTTTGTGTGTGAGTTTGGCCAGGCTTGTTTATCCACGCAGATCTCCTGACATTGTTGACCTACTTCCTGCTCTTGGGATGGACTGCTCCTGAGCTTGGAGGAGGTAAGCTTTCAGAATCCCACAGGACTCTCACAAGCAGGTCTTTGGAGAAGCCATAGTCTGCCCTCCTAAAGTCCAGGCTTGTGATCTTGCTTTTTGCCTTGCTTCTTCCCCTCAGGAGCCTGAACTCCACCACCTCATGGTTACTGCAACCATGGCTGCCTTTGACATTCATATCCTGCAACTGAACACAAACCTCTAACTCCTTTTGTTGATACCCCAATGCTGCAAGCACTAGGAAACAGACTTTTCAGAAGAGGCTCCCCAATGTGCTCATTTCCCAGAAAGTGTGTTTTCTTTCCCCATAATCATGTCCAGAGGGTTGGACTAGCTTTGGCAGTCCGTCCACAGCATCCTGGATCCAGGCTCCTAGCAGACAGGAAGAGACCAGGTTGACCAATGGTTGCCTCCATCCCCTGAAGCATGCCCACCAGCATCACTCACCAGTTCCTCCCAGTGCTCCTACGTGGCTCAGGGTCAGGTTGCCCAGATGTTTCATTTGAAAACACGCCCAGCTCCTGATTCCTCAGCTTTGAGAGCAGCAAACTTATTACACAGCTGCAAGCTGGGGAACAGGGCAACTCCTCTTGGCATCGGAAATCTCCAGCTTCCAGCCTTTGCCTTCCTCAGAGTTTGCACATACCAATCTGCTAGGAACAGGCTCTGTCTAGCTCACATGCCAAGGACATGCCATGACATGGAGGTCCCTGCACTGTCACCTGCTCCTTAGGGCCCATCGCCAGCCTGTGGGATTACACATCAAGGACAGGAGTTACATGACAGAGACTGCCAAGGATGTGTTACAAGTCCCTACACTGCCACCTGGTCCCCAGGGCCCTGCATGGCCAACTCGAAACGCAGCACGACTTCACACCCTGTCAAGGACAAGCAAAGGGTCGCATGCCAAAGTACATTGGGTCTGGCTGGGATGGAGTTAATTTTCTTCAAAGCATCTCGTATGGTGCTGTGGTTTGCATTTGGGACCAAAATAGTGCTTATAACACACCAAGGTTTCAGCTATTGCCGAACTGCACGGCACCAAGGCCTTCTCAGCTCCTCTGGCTGCCCTGCAAGAAAGGAGGCTCAGGGTGGGCAAGAAGTTGGGAGGGGACACAGCCAGGACAGCTGACCCCAACTGGCCAAAAGCCTATTCCAAACCATATGATGTCATAAAAGTTTGTATTTTATAAAAGCTGGGAGAAAGGAGGAAGAAGAGGGACATCTGGGATGCTGGCACCTGTCTTGCCAAGTAACCATTACACTTGATGAGCCCTGGGAATGGCTGAACATCACCTGCTGATGGCAAGGAGTAAAGGAACTCATTGTTAGATTTCTCTTGCTTGCACCCAGAGCTTTTACTTTACCAACCAAACTTTATCTCAACCTGAGGCTTTTCTCACCTTTACCTTTCCAATTCTCTCCCCCATCCCACTGGGGGATGTGAGCAAGCAGCTGCATGGTGCCGAGTGCCAAGCAGCCTACCAGGGTTAAACCCACAACAGAAGGACGTGCCTAGGACATGCCCAGGACACACAAGTCCCCACACCATCACCTGCTCCCTGGGGCTTGGCACCACCAACACTGGGCTCTGCATCGGTCAGTGGGGCCACCTACCACAGATGTGCCAACAGTAACATCATCTAAACCCAGCACCGCCCTCTGCGTCACCTCTGTGCCCCAAATCCTCCTCCTGCGTCCTCCCCACCATATCCACCATGTCCCTGCCCCACCATGCCCACAACCACAGGTGCTCACCGTGCCCGCCGCTCGCGGTAGTCGTAGACCTGCACAGCAGCGTTGTGGGGCACCTGGTAGGTGACGGCACGGGTACGGTCACGGTGCTGGACCTCAGCATCCGGGCTCGAGGAGGAGGGGACCCCAGCATCCAGGCCAGTGCGGTCTCCACGGGCTTCGGCCAGCAGTGCCTCCACCCCAGGGGGCAGCTCCTTCTCCCACAGCTCCTCGGACTCCGTCAACATGTAGGTCTGGCCCGTCACCACCCGCACCTGCATTCACACCCACCTCATGGTGCTGCTGGGCTGGGACGGCCGCTGGGGGCACTGGGAAGGGATTTGGAGGGCACTGGAAGCACTTGGAGGGTGTATGAAGGCATTAGGAGGGGCACTGGGAGCATTGGGAGTTTGGGGGCACTGGATGGGTATAAGAGACACCGGGAGCACTAGGATGGTGTGTCTGGGGACATTGGGAAGGTCTGGGGGAACTGAACAGGGGTTTGAACACACTGGAAGCAGATATATGGGATACTGGGAGCCCTGGGATGGACTGTGGAAGGTGACGGGGGGTACTGAAAGGGGGTCCAGGGTGCACTGGGAGCATGTCTGGGGCCACATGGGATACTGGGAGCACTGGAAAGCAGTGTGTGGGATACTGGGGTAGGTTATAGGAAGCACTGGGAAGGGAGCTGGAGGCACTAAGATGGATTTTGGGAGCACTGGGAGAGGGTCTGGGGATACTGGATTGGGATACGGGGGCACTGGAGGAATGTGGAACACTGGCAGGAGAACTGGGAGCACTGGGAGTGGGAGTGGAGGGCTATAGTGAGCTCGTGAGATTACTTGGTCTATAGGGAGTCCTGGCTGTTTTGGGGAACTACGGGGAGCTATGTGAATTACAGGAAGCTACTGAGGGCAATGGGGAGGACCTGAAGGCATCTGTGGGGGCCGCAGGGTGCTATAGAGGGCTGTGGGTGAGTGGGAAACGTTTATGTGGGTCTACAAAGGATTACTGGGGGCTATAAGGAGCTGCAGGGATCTATGGAGAACTACAGAGTGCTGTAGGGGAGCCCTAGAAGTCTACAGGGAGCAGTAATGGGATTATGGGGAGCCACAGAGAGCTAAAGGGGGCTATAAGGGGGCTATAGGAGACATGAAGGGCTATAGGAGGCCACAGGAAAATCAGCTACAGGGAGCTACGAGCTCCAGGGGAGCTAGAGCAGCGGGGCAGGCACCTTGCCAGTGCGGATGTCGCGCACGTAAATGCCCTCGTTGTCAGCTAGGGCCACAGCCTGGCGACGTTCCAGCACAGCCACCTCGGCGGGCGGCACGTACTCGAGGGGGCCCCGGGCCAGCCAGCGGTCACCTGCGCGCCGTGTCACCTCTGTCCCCTCCTGGGGATGTGGGGATACCATCAGCAACCAGCCTGGGGACGCAGGGACGCACGGACCCCTACCCAACCCCTGGCTGGGGACATGGGGACAGACGCACACCTCATGGCCCTCTGCTACCAGCCAGTCTGAAGGCATGGAGACAGAGAGCACCCCCACGGGCTGCCAGCTTGGGGACAGCACCCCCTCCCACTGTCCTCTGCCACCCACCTGGCTTGGAGACCCAATGATAAAGACGGATGTCCCCACAAGTGTCCCCCGAGACCTCCATAACCCCCCAGACATCCCCCACATACCCACCTGCCCCAGAGGCACTCGACTGTCCCCCACGACATCCAGCCACCAGTGGGTCCCCCAGTTGTCCCCTTTGTCCCCAAATCACTCCTGGTTGCCCCGGGCATCCCAGGCTCCCTGGACCCCCAGTTTCTCCCAGGTGCCTCCAGGTGATCCTGTAAGCCTGGGTGCCCCCTGGGTCACCTCACTGGTGTCCTTGATCGTCTGGAGCGCCTGAAGCAGTAGCCCCTCATCCTCAGAGAGCACAAAGACATCCTGGATGCCATCCTGGAGCCGCTCGCCTGGTTGCAGAAAGAAGGACCTCTCCCCCTGGGGATGTGGGAATGTGTCACCAGCAGGGCAAGGACGTGGCAACGTGGTGAGGACACGGGGCAGGAGCATGGGGATACGGTGAGACACAGTACAGAATATATGGAAGGGGACATTAGGGCCCCTCAAGGATTCCTTTGGGTCCCTGTGGACCACTTTTAAGACCTTCAGGGATGTCTACAGGTATGTCAGGGCCAACTTCAAGTCCCTGGGGACCAACCATGGGCTGCTGTAGAAACTTAGCATCCCTCATCAACACATTTAGGTGTTAATTTAGGTGCTTTGGGACCACCACTGAGATATTTGGGGATGCCTACATGTACATCAGGGCCACCCGTGGACTCCTTGGGGGCACTCAGGGCACCTCGGGGACACCTCAGGGGTCATGCCAGGATCCCTCAGGGATAACTTTGGGACTTTAAGGGATGCCTCAGAGATGCATTAGGGTCCCTTGGGGCCACCTTTGAGACCTCTGGGGACACCTATACATATACCAGATTCCCTCAGAGCCATCTGTGTGGCCCCTGGGGCCACCCTCAGGTCCTGAGGTCCACACTTGGGACCCCTGGGGCACCTTACTGTCCCCCACTGATACATTAGGGGCACATTATGTCTTAGAGCTGCTCAGGACCACACCTTTGATACCTGTGGGGAAGCTAAGGTCACATTAGGTCACTTGCGAGTCCCTGGGGTGCCCACCTTGATCACACGTTGCTGGCCCAACTGGGGCTGCCCGTTGGGCCCCACGGGGTCGAGCACCACGCAGTACTGCCGGGGACCCAGTGTCGTCACCTGCACCTCAGCCACCACCTCCTCGAACACCTCTGGGACGTAGGCCTCGCTCTGCTGCTGCGTCACCAGCCACTCCTCACCCGTGCGGCGCACCCGGCCCTGTGCATCCTCAAAGGTCCGTACGGCTCGCAGGTGCAGGGCTTTCTACGGGAGGGAGGGACAACAGTGGGTGGTGGGACACCAAAAGCTGGCCCCGCCAGGCCTTGTCACCTGTGTGGGCAAGGCGACAGGGTTATGGGACTTCAGACTCGTCCCATACGGTCCTTGTTATGTGCGGGTGAAGGGAAGACAGGGATATAGTGGATTGCAGCAGGGCTGGACCCTCTAGAGAGTCCTTGTCACCCACAGGTGCAGGGAAAAAGGGGACACAGTGGGCTCAGGGCAGGGGGAATGGGACCCTCAAACATATCCCCAAGGAGCCTCGTCACCTGCGGGTGCAGGGGGCACAGGGGGGTGACGGTACCCCACACCTATCCTGGAAGGTCACTTGCCAGCTTGGGTGCAAGAGAATAGCGACACAGAACCCCCAAACCCATCCTGAAAGGTCCCTAACACCTGTCTGTGCCCAGAGCACGTAACAGGACCCCCAAATCAGGTCTTTGTTACCTATCAGTACAGCAGGAATGGGGTCATGGTGGGCTGGTGGGGACAGGATACCCGGAGGGTCCACATCACCCCCTGAGGCAGGGGGAACAAAGACAGCATAGCTGAGGGGGACAGTACCCCTCACACAGTCCTCAACACCCATGGGTGCAGGGGGCATGGCAACATGGTGGGTTGGAAGGTCCCTCAGAGGGTTCTCATCACCCATGGGTGCAATGGGGACAGTGCCATGATGGATCAGGGGGATAAGACCCTTCACCCACCCTGGAGGATCCTTGTCACACCCACGGTTGCAGGAGAATAGGTACACGGACCCCCAAACCCAGTCCAGAGGGACCTCCAGAGGCACCACAGGCATGGCTACACTACTGGCTCAGGTCCTGGAGAGTCCCTGTCATCTGCAGGGGCAGGGGAAACCACGGGCAAGGGTCACGATGCCAGGTACCTTGTCGGTGAGGACGTAGGCGTCCACAACGTCGACCACCTCCTCGTAGACACCGGGCAGGTAGGCACCCACCCGCTTCACCAGCCACTCCTCCCCTGGGAGCAGAGGGATGGGGCTAAGGATGCTGCGGTGCTGGGCAGGGTGGGGACTGGGAGTCCCAGGGGGACTGGGATGGGATGTGTTTTGAGGGGACTGGGGCATATGCAGGTCCTAAGGGTGCTAAGCATCCTATGGATCTTAGGTGTCCTAAAGGTGCTGGGAGCAAAGGGCCCTAGGGGGCAGATGGAAGAATCCTAAGGGTGCTGGGGGTACTGGTAGTTATGGGAGCCCTGTGGGTGCTGGGAATCTTGAGGGGCTAGGGGCTAAGACAGGGTCCCACAGGTGCTATGGGAGAGGAGGGAGGTTATGGGGTTGGGCAGGATGGATGTGTTGGGCATCACAGGGGCGCAGTGGGGTCAGACAGGGATGCTGGAGGTGCTGTAGGGTGAGAGGGGGTGCTGGACGGTGGAATGGGAATGCGGGAGACCCCAGGCAAGCTGAGGGATGAGGCAAGTGTCCCAAAGTGTCCCACACATGCCGCAGCGCCCAGGGGTGCTTCTGAATAACACAGAAATCCCATGGGTGTTAGGGGGTGACACAGGGGGTGACACAGGGCTCCCAGTGGTGCTGGAGGGGTCCCATGGGTGCTCAGGATGCTGGGAGTCCCAGGAGGGCTGTCAGACAACACAGAAGGTGTGTGCATGCTTAGAGGAGACACAAGGATTGCGGGGGTGCTTGGGGTCCCAGAAGTTCTGGGAGATGGGTTGGGGCGCTGCAGGCTCCAGGGGCACTCTCAGATGACCCGGAGCTCCCATGGGTGCTGAAGGGTGACACGGGCGTCACAGAGGGGCTGGAGGGGGAGAAGAGGATCCCAGGGTATGGGGTGTGGTGTCTCAGGGCTGCCTTCAGGCAACACTGGGGTCCCATGGGTGCTGAGGGGGGGGACACCAGAGGCACAGGGTGACACTGAGCCAGCTAACACTGAGTGAGGGCTGAACCCAGGAAGCCACTGCGGCTACCAGGGAGCCCTGGAGTGTCACCGGGTGCAACGGGGTGTCCACGAGTGCTACCTGTGACGCGGCGGATGCCCTGACGGTCGAGGCACTCCTTGCGTGCCCGCAGGCGGATGGCCTGGTTGTGCCCGATGACAGTGGCCTGCAGCGTCTCCACCACCTCCACCTCCTTGCGGGGGATGTAGGTACCTGCACGCAGGCAGCACCATCAGCCCCCAGCTCCCTGAGGTTTCCCCAGGGGGTCCTCAGGAAGGTGTCCCTGCTGCTCACCAGGACCCTCGAAGAGCCACTCGTCGCCTGCTACGAACTTGTTGGAATCCTCGTCCTCAAAGTCAAGCAGGGCCCGAAGGCGCAGGGCGGTGTCAGCCAGCACCACCTGCAGTGGGGTGACACCCTGGGGACACAGGTGTCGGAAGAGAGTTGAGTGAGACAACGTGGGGGCATGGGCATCGTAGCGGAGGTGTGGCAGATGTGGAGGGTGAGAGGGATGGTTTCAGGGGTTGTCCTGGGGGCACAGTAGCAGACACGGGGACACAGAGGGGTCACTGCAGGAGACGTAGATGGGAAGTGTCACTGTGGACTAGGTGGGGACACAGGGTCACGACAGGGCTGTGAGAGTAAGGGGGGTACAAGGGTCCTTGCAGGGAAATGGTGGACATGGGGGTCACTGTGATGGACCTGAGTTTAACCCGGGGGACTGGGACAAAGGTTTTCACCATGGGGGATGTGGGCGACAGGCTGGGGATGGGGACAGTACAGGGGCACGAGTGACACTTTGGCGACAGAACACACTGAAGGGATTGGAAACAATGCAGGGACACCTTGGGGAGAGGTACACAGGCTCAGCGCAAGGACAAGGATGACACACTGAGGGGGGGGGGTCTACAGGATAAATTCTGGGCCATGAGATGGCTAGAGCAGGTATGGAAGAGAACGGGGAACTATAGGGGCTATAGGAGCTGTGAGAAACAAGAGGGGGATTAGAGGAGCTCTAGGGGCTATGGGTAGCCATGGAAGGTTACGGAGATGTGTTACAGAGAGGGATTGTGGAGTCTATAGAAGTTACAGGAGACTGGGGGGTGGGAGAGTGGGAGGGAGCAGAGGAAGCACAGCGGTGCCAAATGAACTGTAGGAGCTCCAGGGGTGCTGAGGAGCCTGTAAAGAGCTGCAGGAATACCTGAGCAGGCAGCTGGAAGGATTACAGAAAAACCCAGTGGGTTACAGGAACTCTAAGAGAGCCATTGGTGAGCTAGAGGTGTTCCAGGGGTCATGAAGGGCTAAAATAGCTGAAGCAGCTATAGGGGACCACAGCAAACTGCAACTCAGCTATAACGGGCCACGGTGGGGCTAAGAGTTATAGAAGACTGTCATATGCTACAAGAGCTGGGGGGCTGTCTGTAACTACCAGGAAGGCTGCAGGGGCCTGGGGGGGCACTGCAGGGAGGGCGGTGTTACAGGTACCTGCTGGAGCTCCTCGCCGGGGTACAGGGGGAAGGGCTCCTGGGCCAGGCGGACGTCGAGGTCAGCGTGCCGCAGACGGACCTGTCCTGCGCCATCCACCAGCACAGCCCCCGTAGGGCTCCGGGCCACGGGGTTGAGCACCACGCAGTAGTGGCGGGGGGGCACCATCACCATGCGTTTGGGCGCAAACACCACCCTGTGGGTACCCCCACACTGCTCCCCTCAGCTCTACAGAGCCCCCAGGGCCCTATGGAACCCCTCAAGTCCTCCACAGCCCCAGTCTAGCCCCACAGCCCTCCTATGGCCCTCTACAGCCTTATGGAACCAACTCGGTCCTATAGAGGTCCTACGATCCTACAGAACCCTCAAAAAACCCCAACAGCCCCACAGAGCCCCTGCAGCCCTGTACACCTTCCCCCCCCCAAGGGCCCATGAAGTCCACATAGCCCTACAGAGACCCCCAACACCTCCCACTGTCCTAAAGAGCCCCCGCAGAGCTTCCTCAAACATCACTCACAGCCCTGTAAACCCAGATCACTCTGTAGCTACGTAAATCCCCCCCACCCCATAGCACGAATGTTTTGTAGCCCTGCCAACCACAGCATGGCACTCCCACCCCACAGCTGCTTCCCCCCCCCCCCCCCCCCCCGCCACAGCATCCACATCTTTCGCTGTAGGAAGGAGACTGCCCCAAAGCACCCACCTCTCGTGGTCCTGCCTGATGTAGGTGTGGGGCCCAACCTCCACACGAGTGACGTTACTGTTGAGGTCCAGCACGTGGACATAGTGGTAGGGGGGTATGCGGATCACAGGGTCTTCCATCGGGTAGGAGGCTTCGCCGTGCAACAGGAGACTTTGCCACGGGGGCGGGCGAGCTCGCTGTGGGACAGAACAGCCTGCTGTGGCTCACCGTGGGAGTGGCAGGCCTTGCCACAGGCCAGAAAAGCTTAACCTGGGGCAGGTGAAGTCCCTGGGGGGCAGATGAAGTCGCCATGGGGTGGATGAGATTGCCAGGGGAGCAGAAGACCTGGCCGTGGGGTAGGGGACCACGTCACGGCTCACTGAGAGACCTCGCCACAGGCTCCGCGGTGGGGTAAGAGACTACATCATGGGCCAGAAGGGCTTGCCAGGAGGCAGAGGAGCTCGCTGCGGGGCAAAAGGAGCTCTCCGGGGAGAAGACGAGCTCACACCGCGGGCTGGGCGACCTCGCCACGGGGAAGACGAGCTCCCCGTGCCGCGGGTAAGCTCGCCACGGGCTGCGGCACCCCAAAATGGCCGGGACACCTCGCTCCGGGGCAGGAGAGCTTTCTGCCGGGCAGACAGCCCCGCCGCGGGGCAGAAGGAGACCTCACCTGGGGCGGCGAAGGAGATGAGTTCGCTGGGGGGGGGGGGGGGTCAGGAGATCTGCCCTGAGGCACAGCAGCAGGCGGCAGAGCGGAGGAAGCCCGGAAGAGCTCTTTGCCTTTGCCCTGGCCCAGCCCTGCACGCAAGGCAGGGCCCAGCCCACCGGGGCCGCCCCACGGGCCGGGATCTGCCCCCCACCCGCGGCGGGACTGACCCCAGGCAGGGCGTGCCCCCCCTTCCCCCCACCAAGGCGGATTTACCCCCAGGTAAACGCGGACTGACGCAGGGCAGCCCCCGCTCCCCGAGGCGGATCTGCCCCGGGCGGCTCCCCGTTTCTCCGGGCACACCCCGGGGGGGGCTGCGGGGCACGGCCGGGCTGGCTCCAGCAGCGGGCACAGCCCGGCCGGGCCGGGCCGGGCCGGGCCGGGCCGGCCCCCCCCCCGGCAGGCTCCAGCCCGTCGCTAGGCGACCGCCGCCGCCATTTTGCCGGTCGCAGGCGCCGCTCCCTTTGCCCCCTTCCTGCCTCATTGGGAGGGGTTGGGGGGGGGGGGGGGCGGGGAGGTTTGTGGTATGTGGAAAAACTCAAAGCAAATGAGTTATAAAGTAGGCATGCGGTTTATTTCGGCGCCGGGCGTGTCCCAAAGGCATAAAGCGGCGACTTGCTGTGGTGATAATGCAGTAAAAAGTTAGGCACGCAGGAAGTTTCCCACTACGCCTATGCATATTCATAACCTATCCCCGCTTTGTATTAAAATTACCTCCAAGAAGTTATTTCCTTAAACTCCTCCATTCTGCGCCTGCACAGTGCCATCGCAGTGGTCATCAGGGGGGCCGTGGGGATGAAGGCTGATAACTCCTCTTCATCGCCACTGGCTGCTCCCCCCCCCCCGGCTTTGGACAGACTCAGCTGCTCCTTGGCTCTTGCCCAAACCACACGGTCGGTCTCAGCTGTTTTTTTGAGACGTGTTCCCCATTTTTGTCAGGAAACATCCTCTGTGAGGGGCCCCGAGACTCCTTGTTTTGGTTAATTTGCACAGCAGTAAGCAAAGACGCTCAGCGACGTCTATTTTAATGCGATTAGGCAAGCCTCCGTTCTTCCATCCCTGGCTTTAACAATAATGATTACTTTATTTAGAAATCATTAATGTGATTAAACAAGCCCCCATTCTTCTAACCCTGGCTTCAGTGGGGGGCAGAGGAGGGTGACACGGGCCGAGAACGTGGGGATGGAGGGGCACAGGCAGTTATGCAGGGACAGGGGAGGACATAGGGACACAGTGTGGGGACACCCAGGAGGGTGGTTGGGGACAGGGACCATAAATGATGGGGCCCCTGCTGTGTCCCCAGGGCTCACCCCCTGGGATGTGGCCCTACACCCCAACCTGCTGGCAGGGGCCCAGGGACAAGTGCTGCAAGCGCTCAGCAGCAGGGACCCCTGGGTGCAGTGGTGAGTGTGGGCAGGGCATCCCTGTGTCACCAACTGTGGTGCCCTGTGTCACCCTGCTACCTCCAGGGTCACCCTGGGGTGCCACAGCCGGCCTGTTGGTTGCCCCGGCGCCCCCCAGTTTGCTTTGTGTTACCCTCTGGGATCCCATGTCACCCCTGTAAGCCTGTATTACCCTGACTTGCCCCACAGCATCCCTGTGGTCCCAAGCTTACACTCTGTCTCTCTCAGGATCACCTTCTGTTATATCCTGAGGTCTGAGTCCCCTGGCGTGACCTAGGCCACCATGTGCCACTGCAGAGGCTCCTGGGTAACCCCATGCCACCCCATGGTGCCCCCTGTGTCACCCCAGGATCCCCTGATGTGTTCCATGATATTCTCTAGCACTGCACGGGGAACCTTGGTTCACCCCATGCCAACCCCCAGAGTCCCTGGCATGTCCCATGGCAGCTTATGTTAGGGTCCTCTGGTGTGCCCCACACCATATCCAGTGGTTGCCTGTCACTCTCTGGGTCAGCTGGTGTCTCTCCAGGTTCCCCACGTCACCCAGTGCCAGCCCCTAGGGTTCCTTGCCTTACTTATGTCCCCACCATCAATCATCCTTGTGACTCTATCTCCCTCCTCGCTGTGCCTGTAACCCCTTTTGCACTACCAGAGTGTCCCCCAGGGTCACAGTGCTACCTGCAGGTGTCCCCGGGACACTCCTGGATGCTCTGCAGGTGGAGGACCTGGCCAGGATGCTGAGCTTCTCGGTGATGCACGTGGCTGCAGTGCTAGACGTGAGTGGGTGATACGCAGGTAGTATAGGTGATGCGTCGCTGGCATGGGTGACATACGCATCACAGTGGTGAAAGGGGTGACAGCAGGTGACAAGTGGGTGACACAGATGCCACCTACTGCCACTCTCCTCTCTGCATGCCAACCTGCCCAGCACATGGGGGACACCCATATCACCCTCAGGTCCCTCCAGCCTGTCTCCAGTGGTATCAGCCTGCTCCTGTGTCCCTGGGTGCAGGGGCTACAGCGCATCCAGACACCCTGGGTCCAGGGGTGATGGGGGAAGGGGTATGCCCTCCTTGCATCTCTAGGATGCCTGGATCCTCCAGATATGAACTGAGGAGCTTTGGGGAGAGGGGTTCCCTGTACTCTGAGGTCCCCAGGCCCATGTCAAGGCTGTTTAGAGGGCAGGAGGCAGATGGATGTCTGGATCTCTCAGATGCCTTAGGTCCCCTGGACAGAAGCTGAGGTGATTTGAAGGAGAGGGCAAACCTGGACACCTAGATTCCTTGGATATAAGTGGAGCCATGCATGTTAGCACCCTGGTCACCTGGGTGCCTCAGAAACAGAAAACAGGGTAAACTGGACATGAGACACAGATTCAGAAAAGGGTTTAGGTTGGAAGGCAATTCTGGAGGTCATCTGATCCAAGCCTCCTGCTCAAACAGGGCCACAGAGAGCCAGTTGGCCAGGACCATGTCCAGACAGCTTTTGAATATCTCCAAGGTGGGAGACTCCACAACCTCTCTGGGCAGCCTGTGCCAGTGCTTAGTCACCTTCATAGTGAAAAAAGTGTTTCCCAAGGCTCAGAGGGAACCTGTTATGCTTCAGTTTGATCCCAGTGCCTCTCATCGTGGCACTGGGCATCACTGAAAAGTGCCTGGCTCCATCTTCTTTGCACCCTCCACTCAAGTATTTATATACACTGATAAGATCCCCCCCTAGGCTATCACAGTCCCAGCTATCTCAACCTTTCTTCTTAGGAGAGATGCTACAGTCTCTTCATCATGTTTGTGGTCCCACTCAGGTGCTTTCGCCGCTCCTCCCACTTCTGTGTCACCTGCGAAGTGGCAAAGGTGGCATGTCCCACCACAGTATCATAGAATGGTTTGGGTTGGAGGCCACCTTAAAGATCATCTAGTTCTAGCCCTGTTCCCACTAGACCAGGTTGCTCAAAGCCCCATGCAACTTGGCCTTGAATGCTTCCAGGGATGAGGCATCCACAGCTTCTCTGGGCAACCTGTGCCAGTGCCTCACCACCCTCAGGGTAAAGAATTCATTCAGAATTTGTCCAGAATCATCCAGATAATTAATGAAGATGTTAAAAAGACTGGAGACAGTGTTGATCCCTGATCTACACAGCTAGTTACTAGCTTCCAATTAGACTTTCAGTTGCAGATCACAACCCTCATGGTCCTTCTGTTCATCCATTTTTCTACCAACATCAGTTTCTCCATGTCTAAGCCATGCATTGTCAGCATCTCTATGAGGATGTTATGGGAGACGGTATGAAAAGCCTTACGTGTGGAGGTACACATGTAATACACGCCCCTTCAGCACCAAGCTAGTCTCCTCATTGTAATGGGCTATCAGTTTGGTTAAGCCTGATTTCCCCTTGGTAAATGCATGCTGAGTACTCCCAACTGCCTTCTCCTTCATGTGTTTGGAAGTGGCTTCCAGGAGAGTTTTCTCCCATCACCTTTCTGTGGATAGTGGGGCTGGCAGGCCTGTTATTTCCCTGGATCTTTCTTTCCTCTTTCCTATCTTGAAGATAGAACTGACATTTGCTCACTTCCAACCTTCAGAAACTTGTCCCAGCTGCTATAAGCTGGTCTCTTCAGTAAAGACTGAGGCAAAGAGGGCTTTGAGCAGGGAGGGACAAAAAGCGAGGCTTCTGCAAGAACATAAACAGCAAAAGAAAGACTAAGAAAAACATTGGCCTGGGACTGAATGGGACTGGGGAATGAGTGACAAGCAACAAGAAAAAGGCTGAAGTACTCAATACCTTCTTTTGCTGTTTATGCTGTTTGTTGTGATGCCTTCACATCAGCTATTAACCTTTCATGCAAATAAAGTTTTTCTCTTGGACCTGCAATGATTGCATTCCATTGATCATGACTTATTTCACATTGCTCTGAGCTGCTGTTATAGTTTCCCTAGCTCATTTTGTAAAGTCCTTACTTCTGTTTCTAAATCTCGTACTTTTCCAACTTCCATCTCTAGTTGTGAGGCTTGTAAACAGGCTTTGTGGGCTTCTAAGATCTTCCTCTCTTCTGATTACGATGTTTTCTTGTCCTCTTGTCCTGCTAATTTAGGAGTTTCCTACTCCCCTCGTTTCTTGATTTCTTTTTGTAACTTCTTTATCTCTTCATTATTATTATTATTATTATTATTTTATTATTTTTTAGGATATTCTGTGTGAGTCACATAAGCTATATTAGAGTGTCCACATGGCACATGGCTTCTTTTTTACTGGATTTGAATTTTGCCCATTTGCAATGCCTAACCTAAGCTTCACAGTCTGCAGAGGTGGCATCTGCTACTTTGAAACAGCAGATCCTCCAAGATCAATTTTCTCCTGTTAAATCACCCGCTTGTGGAATTCGGTAACATCCTTTTCCTCAGTGACATATTTATTTAGTGTGAGCTGTGAGGTCTGTTTTATCTTTTGCACTTCCCACACTGCCTTTGCACAAACAAACTCTATGAAGAGTTTTGTTGTGGGCTAACTTATACGGAGTTTTAAGTGTGCTTTTTGTAAGAACTAATTCCACATTTGCTTTCCTTCAGAGTTCAGTTGATTCTGAGCATCCAGAGAGACAGACAGCAAGGTGCACTTCTGGTCATCTCATTTGCCATCTTTACAAGCCCTTCACTTTTATTTCAGGTTTTGTCTCTCAGTTTTGGGGCAACAGGACAAACTTGGGGTGTGGCTGTTCCTCAGGGCATATTCCCAGACAAAATACTGTTTGAGTCCAACCAAGTGTGTGTCAGGAGCTATTCCTGAAGTCAGCCAACCAAATATTAAATCAACAAAGTTTCATTTATTGAGGAATGTCTGTGTGCAGCAGCAAGGGCTGCCTTCAGTCCAACATTCTACCTATAGTGCAGCTCCTTTACTATATAGGGGCAGGAGTATTTCATGCTGCTGATTTACTGCCATCCATCCAGGAGCTATGAATGACTCAGACATCTGCCTTGGAATAGTCTATTTCCAGATGCCCAGTGAAGTTTGGGATGCGTCTCACCAGATGGTGAAGGGGTAAGGTTACTCAAAAACACAGAATAAGCACAGTAATTGTCACTTTTCCTGGCACATAAATATTTATTTATTCAGCAATCTTGCCAAACCTGGATAAGCTCAAACCCCCCAATAAAAACAACCTATTTGTCAAGCAAGCAGGAATAGGAAAATTCACAGAAGAGAGAATTTTGACTCCAGCACTCCTACACTGAATGCAGGTGAGAGATGTACATAAAAAAATTACAAATGTATCGCCTGTACCTTGCCTACATTCTCCATCAGACTATTACACGTAGGTCTGTCATGCATGTCAAAGAGCCACTTCACAGAGAAAGTGCAAAAATGAAACTGATTTGGAGAATTTAGTTCAAATGGTGCCTACACATTTGATTTCTATAATGTTAAATGGTGCCTTCAAATTTGGGTTCTATAATGTCAAGGATAGAAACTGCACAGACAAAGGTCCGAGTGTGCAATGAAACACACACAAATCATGATATTCAGATATTCATCAGAGACTATATCTACAGGAATTCCTCTGGGGTCCGCCAGCACCTGGAAGATTTTTCCAGTTACGGTCCAGTTACAGAGGAACTTATGGCACAGATGACTGAATGAAGACAGAAGTTTCTGAGAGCGTTAGGAAAAAAGAAAGAAAGTGAGACAGCAAGCTTTCTAATATGAGTAAAGTGGGGAGAACTATGCCCTAAGTTTTGTGGTGAGTGGGGTCTGGTCCCCTGTGTTGGTCTGTTGGCTTCCCTTCCTTTTTTCTCTTCCTCTGCTTCTCTGACTCACAACACCTGCTATGCGCAGACCTTATAGTTCTACAAAAACTTTCACTGATTCTTACAAAGCCTTTTTAGATTTACACACATTAACAAAAAAGCAGCTCCCAACAGACAGTTTTGAGCAGTACTGCCAGAGATCAAAAATAATAATAATTAAAAAATGCTGCTAACAGGGTGTTTGTTGAGTTGTGGGCAAGTATGGCTTCTCCTAGATGAAAAAAAAAAGTTCCCAAGAACCATATCCTTTGAAATCCTACCTGGTGCAACAGCATCAAGAACAAATAGCTCTTCCTATCTCTCTGTAGATAGTTGTATTACCACATTTGAAGGAGAATTACACAATCACGCATTGCCATCCCACACCCATCATCATAATTCCAGTCCCTGAGCCAGCACAGCAGAATGCCCAGCTGAGCCAGAAATGACTGAGATTGACTGCTGATCAAGCCTATTTATTCTTTATTGCTGACTGCTCTGGCAAGACTCACCCTTAGGTGCAGCCAAGCAAACCTCCCTGTTTAACCCTTGTAGCTTTGGATCTGACCTTATGCTCCAGCCCACACGGCTGTGAATGAGTGGACTGGGCACAAGCTGAGAGCTCTGCATTCCTCACCCTCATGTCCCAGCTGACACCACTGATGCTGTGCAGATGCTAAATCTTCCTGCTGCCAGGCAGTCCCTGAGCCCAGGGCAGCTCCAGCTCCTTGGAGGTCTGTGATGAAGCCTACCTGTGGGCTGAGGTGGAGTTGTGAGATGAGCTCTTGACCAGAATCTTCCCCGGGGAACCTTCGGAGGGAGTGCATCTCCTTGTGGCAGTCTGGCCTGCTGTGACTGCCAGAGGGAGAAAAAAAATCAAGAGACCGATTGATGCGGAGCACAGTGTCCAGCTCCCCACAGCATGTGCTGGTGAGCTTGCACTCCCATGGCCTGTGGGGAAGACACATGCAGAAGATCTGTGGAGTCAGCACAGCCACCAGGACAGATGCACCTGACATTGCCCTTGACATGCACTAACCCCAGCCTGCCAGGACACCACACAGTCCATCCAGCGCTGGGCCAGCTGGGGCCATGGAGATTGAACATGCTAAGGCCAGACCCAGGCCCAGATGATGGGCGGCCATGGGGATGTTCTGCCCTGGCACTAGGCCCAGCGCTATGCAGGCAGAGGGCATCCAGATGTCCCCAGTTATAGATGGCACGGCCACTGGGTCAGCCTGTCTGGAGCTGGGTGCAGCACCCAGCCCTTCAGCCCCTCCAGCTGTTGCAGGAGGATCTCCACTGGTGGAACAGCCAGGCCTTCACAATTCAACGGGAAAGTAGAACATTTTGTTAATTGCATGAAAATCAAAAGAAATGATGGTGGATGGGACACATGAGGTTTACAATTGCAAGGAGGAAAGTACAGAGCAAAGCACAGCCCCAGAAGGAAAAAGAGAGACCTGTACCCTGTGCCCTAAGACACCTAGGAGAGGACTGGGCTGAGGGGCCGATATAAGTGAAACTCAACAGAAGGGAGAACATGAAGGTAAGGAGAGAGGTGAGCTGGGTTTTAGTGGGAAAAGAGATACAGAAGGGAAAATAAAGGTTCTTGCCGAACTAAATCTCTCAGATACTCCCAAGCGCTGAGGGAACCTGATGGCACCTGATGGCAGGTGCAAGGCAAAGACCATTTGTCCACTGAAAATGCCTTGTGGAATGAAATGTGACCATAAGGCATGGAGAAATTCCATGCAACAGAACAAGCTGGGGGCCAACTGACTAAAGAGTAACTTTGCAGATGGGGACTTGGGAGACCTCATATTGAGTAGGAGCATGCAATGTGTTCTTGGCAGCAAGGAACAACAGCTGCACCCTGGGCTGCACTGGCAAGAACATAGCTGGAAAGTTTACAGGCATGAGTCTACTCCCTTTATTTGGCACTTGTGAGATCATATTTGCTGGGAGGGAGAAGCAGACAAGACCATTCTAATTGTCCAGACCATCTGACTCTGTTTTGGTATCCATATCCTCCTGCATTAGCTTCACACAACTATCCCAGTTCCAGCAGTATCTCTTTCATGTCCTAGTACAGCAGCTGAGGGGATCCCCAACCTTAGCAGTTCTTCCATGAGTACCGCTGTCACATGTTCCATTGACACTGAGTACATTGGGCTATACAGAATGTGGGAGATATTCTCTGTAATTGGACCCTTCAAGAAATGTTCAGAATGTTAACTATCCTTTAAAGGAAACTAAACCAAATAAAACAAACACAAACCAAACCAAACAAAGCAAATAGAATCATAGAATGGTTTGGGTTGAAAGGGACCTTAAAGATCATCTAATTCCAACCCCTTGCCATGGACAGGGACACCTCCCAGTGGATCAGCTTGCTCAAAGCTCCATCTAACCTGGCCTTGAATGCTTCCAGGGAGAGGGCATCCATGACTTCTCTGGGCAACCTCATCAACTCCTTCAGCATGTCTTCTCAGGAGAGGTGCTCTAGTCCCTTGAGCATCTTTGTGGCCCTCCTCTGGACTTGTTCTAATAGGTCCAAGTCTTTCTTCTGCAGGAGGCCCCAAAGCTGAACACAAAGCTCCAGGAGGGGTCTCATGAGGGCAGAGTAGAGGGGGTGAATCACCTCCCTCGCCCCACTGGTGAGACTTCTTTTGATGTAGCCCAGGGTACAGTTGGCTTTTGGGGCTGCAAGCATACATTGCTGGCTAATGTTGAGCTTCTTATCAACCAGCACCCCCAGGTCCTTCTCATCAGGGCTGCAAAGCAAACCAAACTAAACCAACCAACCAACCAAACAAACAAACAAAAGTACTACTTTGAATAGCATACTAATGGTAAAATTAAACAACTCTGCTGCCTTTTTCTCCACTAGGAAGGACACTGCCTGTGTCTTTTCAGCTCTAACTCATGATCTATTTCTGGACAATTCTGAGCACAGGTGTAATTTTCTAAGATGGTTTCCATATATTTCTATAGCTGTACATGGACCACTCTTCCTGGGCTGACAGCTCTCCATCCGTAGGTAAGTCTTGGCTTTCCAAGGGAAGCAAACTGTTCTTTGACAGTCATCCAGTAACACAAGAAAGGCTCATTACAATGAAAAAAATGTACTCCACAGGGAAGAGGGGATACAGAAACAGAACTGTGTTTTTACAGAGATTATGTTTTTTCCAGTACCCAAATCCTGAAAAGCCTTCTGCACCATGAGCCATCTTTTGCCCTGTCTTAGGGCTCTGCTATCATTTTGTGCTGTGCGTGTGTGTGAATCTCCTCCAGCTCACCCTGGGCACTCATATGACTATATTGTTAAAATGGAACAGATCCCACCTACCTTGGCACCAGAGTTGTCTGCCTGAAAAAGTACCATGTTCATGTGAGCAGGATGAGCAAGTCTGTGCAGGGCTCTCTTGCTACTGCTGCTCACCAGCATGGCATCTCTCCCTGCCAGCCTGCACAGCGCAGATAGTCAAATCGATCAAAGGAGAAGCAACAGACCATGGCCATCTCACACATATGCCCTGGGGAAAAGTAGCATTGCAGCTTAACCCCTATCAAAATCAAAAGATTAATTCACAAAGGCCCAAGATCTGCAGACATGCAGGAAATGCAGAACCCTACGTATGCTTTTTATCGTAGAATCATAGAATCATTAAGGTTGGAAGAGACCTTCAAGATCATCTGGTCCAACCATCACCCTACTACTAACATCACCCACTAAACCATGTCCATAAGCACTAGGTCCAAAGGTGAGGATTCTCTCCAAATCCAAGTCAACCCTTCCAAGTTTTCAGATCAAGGACTACAGGGAGGGGGGTAATGACAAGAACAGGTTTGTATTTTCAGGAAGTACAAATGAAAGGGCTTTCAAAAATATCTTCTGCAATGGAATTTATGCCTCTCTACTAGAGAGACAAACAGTACTCCTGCAGACAAACAGTACTCTGTACAAAATGTTTGTAGAGGCAGTGGATGGGTACATAGCTCTGTAGCTCCCATATGAGACCTCACACAGCAGGTCTCACCTTCATCTTCATGCTTCATGCCATTAAACTGCTCCTATCTCAAGCACACAAGTTTGCTTCAATCTTATGTTTTCTCCCCACTGCCCCATCTTGCTGAGGAGGGGCTGTGGGGTGCTTCACTGCCTCCAGGGTTAAGCCCACTGATGGCGCTGATGGAGCAGCAGGTGGGAGAGCAGTCAGGTGCCAAATCTGCACTTTTTCCAGCCTGCCTTCCCTCCCTGCACATGCATTTTGCTTGTGACCAACAGGGCTGGAAGCAGCTTGGAGACCTAGGCCTGAGTCTAGTGCAGCCTTCTGCTCCATCTCTGCTGCTCCAGCAGCCAGAGACCTTCACAAAAGCCATCCATTCTTCTGTGCTACTGCCAGCTCACTGGGCAGCCCCAGCCTGGCCCTGGCACTTGTCTCCCAACCACAGCAAAGGGCTGCTGTTCCCCTGGGCCACTCAGTACAAGCAGGATGATCTACAGCCACAGGAGAGCCTCCTTGCAGCTGTATGACCTCCCAGTCTCCACACAGGACAGCACCTTCAGACCCGCCAGGACAGCAACCCTGAGGCTGTGCAGAGCAGCGAGGGGACACAAAGGGGAGGAGTGGGGCAAAGCTGGCTTCAGCCCACTTGGACACCATGGACAGTGTGGAGCACTGAGGGAGTTGCAGGTGGAGGTGCCTGTGCTGGCACAGTGTTTGTGACAGAAGGCATTTGTGTCCCTCTAACAGCATCCCATCCCGACTCTGATAATCTTTTTCATTTCCAAAGACAGCACACAATTTTCCCCCAAATACTTATACAATAAAAGACTTACACAATAAAAGATTTAACCTTGGTTGAGTACCATCAGGTGAGGGGCTGCTTGAGCAAACAGGACATACTTAAGTCCATGATGAGCTCTGATGGGACCCACGAGTGCTGAGGGTAGCCGGCAGTTTGGGGTGCAGAACCACATTCCTAGAGAGACATGTCAGGGTTATTAGGGAGGCACCCAAGGGCCCACACCATGGACAGTGGCATATGCTAGCAACTAAGCTGAGGAGTATCAGGGTGTCTGAGGAGGAGATTGACTGGTGGAATTGTACTCTACCATCCTTGGAACAAAGGCATTGGCCAGTCGTAACATATGATTCTATAGATTCCCTACCCTCTCACTACTGGACATGAGGGGTTAATCTAGGAATAAGGGGGAATGGAAGAATTTTTCTGGTCAGGGCAGCAAGCAAATCCTCTCCTTCCTTACCTCGCCTTCCCAGGTGCCCTTATACAATAGGTATGAAGACTGGGAACTTGAAGGTCACAGATTATCAAGGGATGTCTCTAGATCAGCTAACCTGATCCTTATGGGTGACTTCAACTTCACAGACATTAACTGGGAATACCAACTGTCAATACAAACAGTATTCCTAATGAATTCCTAACAGAAATTCCTAATGCACACTGAAGCTAACTTCTTGGTACAGGCACGAAGGGGAAAGGTGCCTCCAGGATTTGTTGTTTGTAAACAGAGAAGGTAAAGCGGCAATTGGTGGCTGTCTTGGCCAAAGTGACCATGAAGTAGTTGAGTTTAAAATCTTTGGTGACAGGAGAAAAACTCCACTCAAAATGTAATCCTTGGATATAAGGAGAACAGATGTCAGGCTATAAACCACTTCATAAGGAATCTTGGGAATCTGTTTCTGAAGGTGATGGGGTCCAGCAGTGCTGGTCACTTTTTAAGAGCCATCTCTTAAGAGCACAGGAGCAGGTGATTACAAAGTGTTAGATGTTAAACAAGAAGGGCAGAATGCTGGCTTGGCTGAGCAGGAATCTTCTTCTATAGCTTAGGTGGAAAAGGAAAGTTTATGGACACTGGAGGCAAGTACAAGTGACAAGGGAGGACTACAGAAATGCTGTGTGCCTGGAAGGAGAAAAGATGTGTGGCCAAAACTCAGAGTTGAAGCTGGCCAGTACTGTGGGAGGCAACAAAAAGGGCTTTTGAAAGTATGTCAACACCAAAAAAGGGACTACAAGTAACATTGGTCTATTATTCACCTCACAAATAGGGTCACAGACAAAGCAGACATTTAATGTCTTCTTTGCCTCTGTTTTCAACACCGAACACGGGCCTTGGGACACCTGGAGCCCTGTGTTGAAATCCATTACTCATAGAATCATAGAATCATAGAATCATAGAATATCCTGAGTTGGAAGGGACCCTTAAGGATCATCAAGTCCAACTCTTGACACCGCACAGGTCTACCCAAAAGTTCAGACCGTGTGACTAAGTGCACAGTCCAATCTCTTCTTAAATTCAGACAGGCTCGGTGCAGTGACCACTTCCCTGGGGAGCCTGTTCCAGTGTGCAAAAGGTCCATGTTGTTAAACCCCTACATGTTCTGTTTTCAGGTGATTCATCATGACACACAAAATTATGGCTATAAAAACCTCAGAGACAAACCAAGGAAGTTTTATTACCAGATAAACAATCGCAAGAATCCCAAAACTTTGAGGGATGAGGGTCGTGTGTGTCTTTCCCCCCACTCTCGCCCCGCTCCCCTCCCATCTTCCCATTTTGTAAAACATCACAACAAAACCAAGCATCTTCAGGAACTTTGAAGAAAACTGGGAGATTTCCCAAACCTTTTCCCATCCATGTTAAACCAAAACTTGGATTCACTGGACCAAATCCTGACATTTTGCTCAGTTGTCCAGCTGTTCCAGCTCATCCATGTCATCTGGGTCAAGCCTCTTGATCTGGGTCTCTGAAGAAAGAAAACAAATGTCAGTGCCTGCCAAGTACAGCCAGGCACCAGCCTGTGCAGGAGTTAGCAAAGGCATAGCACTGCTGCTCGGGGGCTGCTAGTAGTGGCAAACCCTGGCAGCCATGCCCAGGACTCTCGGCTCTGCCTTCCACAGATGACATAAAACAAGCTGTGAGCTGTTCAGCACGTGACGGAGGTGAGAGGTTAGAAACCTGCCCAGCTGTTTGCATCAAACCCAGTTGAGTAGAGGTATAGGTAGAAGTGACAGATTCCAGTTATCTCAGGACCAACTGGCCACCTCTGGGATACTGCTTCCTGGCTCAGTGCACGTGCTAACCTCGCTCTGGGCTGAAAAGCTACCCAAAGTGCTCAGCATGGCATTTCCACACTGCGGAGTTCAAAAGATAATCAAACTTTGAGAGAGCACAACAGACACAAACCTGACCGACAAATGGTAAGAGACGTACATAGTGATGGGAACCCAAACTGGTCAGTCACACTGACTGATGGAGCTCAGAATGTTTATTCCACAGAGGTTATCCGATCAAGGACCTTGGCAACTGGGCAACGTGGGAAAAGGGGGAAACAAGCAACAAAACACCTGACACAGACCTGACAAACCCAATGAGACAATGACGAGAAACTAACCTCACCACTCACACTAATCGGTGGGCTATTGAGAAATTACAGGTGCCACTTCCCAGAAGAACCACCTGCACTTTACAGCTGGTAAGGCTGTGAGCCAGAGGGACCTGGACTGGAAGGGGTGTGGGAACTGGGAGGGCTGTACAAACCCATGATGAGACGTGCAGGAGGAAAGGGAGGTGGGAGGTGCAAAGAGGGGGTAAGCAGGAAAGGGCACAGAAGCGGCCACTTGCATGTGAAATGGGGCTAGTCGGTGTGCTTCTTTGGTTTAGCCCCAACACTGATCGCCACGGTCTGTCTTGTAGTCTTATGCCTACTTAAATCTTTTCCCACTTCTGTCTTTCTGTGATCTCACACTCAATCCCTGGTATGTGTGTGTGTGTGTGTACGTGCGTGCATACAGCAGTACCTTCTCACCAGCTACTGCTGAGACCTGTGCGTGAATGAAAACTGGTGCCAACTCCTGCAGTCAGACAGGGACAAGGCTGCCCCTGGCCTCGGCTGCCACCTACTGGAGCCACTGCAGGGGTCTCACTGCAGATACTGCAGCAAGCACGATTCTTCAGCTCCCAGCCACTGGGCTGGGGATGCTGTGCATCCAAAAAAACATCTGTTGGGGGGGCACTGGCGTGACTGTGACTGTGTGTGTGTGTACATGATGAATTCGAAGTGACAGCTGCTGGAGGCAGAGGTGAGCATCTGTACCTTCTACAGACTGTGTGGGTATGGAGGGTGTGTGTGTGTGTGTATTCACCTGAAAACTTCAGCCTGGGTCACCTAGTGACTGCGGGGGCCCTCAGGCCCAGGCCAGGGTATCAGGTGCATGGGTGGAGTCCGTGCGAGTACCAGGCTGGACCAGCCAGCAAGTAGGGGACTTGTCAGAGGGCAAGGGTCTGGTCAGGGACACTAGGAGAATAGAGGGGCTGGGATGGTGCTTGCTGACCCACAAACACCTGTGTGTGTTTGGACCTGGAAGTGCATGTGTGTGCTTGCACTAGTGACTCTCTGCCAGCCAACGAGGAGAAGGGGATTTGTGTGTGCTTGTGTGTCTGTGTCTGTATATTTGTGTGTCTGTGCGTGTTGGTCTCAGGGACATGTGTTCTGTGACACTGTTGATTGAGCCTGGGTTAAAGGGTAAAGTGGCAGACGCATCCCTCAGCTTGTGCAGAGACCCCAGGTGCCCAGGCACCAGGCTGGGCTTCAGCAGCTCACAAGGACCGTACTGGTCTGTACTGGCCTGTGCTGTGCTTCAGCAACCAGGCATGGAGGTCCTGGGCCAGAGCAGCTGCAAGAGGTGGCCACACTCCTGACATTCCTTAATGCTTCCCAATGCACTTCTCATCCACGTGTACCTCAGCTCTTTGCAGCATCAGAGCTGGGCACAAGGATATTCACGGAAATGCTCCTCTATACTGTGCACGAGGTACGTGGTCTGCCTTTCCACCATGTTGAAGGCAATGCCCTTCTTCCCAAAGCAGCCCGTTTGCCCAATGCAGTGCAGGTAGGTCTCAAAATCCAGCTGCTTCTCCTGATTAACAGGGAGGCTGAAGTTCACCACTATGGTGACTTGTGCCACATCAATCCCTGAAAGACAGAGAGGTTTCTCGCAACCAGGATCCGAAGGCAATCACCCGCGTCCAGATCGGAGCTAGTCCACTTGCAGTATAAAGCGGTCAGCCCTGGCTCTGCAGCACACACTACAATGACATGTCAAGGCAACAAAAGACCTACATGTAGAGGCCACGGAGCACAGGTTGTGTCACCAGAAACGAAGCAGCATCGTGTGTCCCCTGCGAGTTGATGGGCCATGGGGCAAATCAAGGGGATTCCCACACTGCAGATGCTGCGAGGGTATTGCTTTTCAGGATACAGTACCTCTAGCACAGACGTTTGTGGTGATGAGAACCTTCTCCTTCCCATCGCGGAATCTGAATCACATCAGCCCTCTGCACTATGGTCAGCTCTGCCGTCAGCATGGTGACCTGGTGCCGATCCTTGCTCATCTCCACCGACAGCCAGTCCACACTCCTGCGAGTCTAGATGCGTGGGAGAGGCAGGAGGAGCTTTTGCAGCAGCTCTGGTGATACTGGTCTCCACCAGGCATGGTGCGCTCTCCAGGAAGTCGGTACACACCCAGACCGACTACCCGTTAAAAAATGCAGCAGTTCAGGTCACCGGGTGCGGGGAGCATCTGAGCCTGTTGCTGCCATCGGTGGGAGGCAGAGAAACTGCGTGCGTGAGGTGCGAGCAGCTGGATGACCTGGTCCACATGGTGGCGGAGCTCAAGGAGGAGGTGGAGAGGTTGAGGGATATCAGGGAGTGTGAGCGGGAGATAGACTGGTGGAGTAACTCCCTGCAGGGCCTCAAGGAGAGGTACCGAGGTGAGACACCCCAAATGGGGGTGGACCCCCTGCCCTGTCGCCGTCGGGCAGAGGGAGGGAATCTGGGAGTTGAGGAGGAATGGAAACAGGTCCCTGCTCGACATCGCAGGCGATGCCCTCCCCTTCCGGCCCCACCTTCCCAGGTGCCCTTACACAACAGGTTTGAGGCCCTGGAGCTCGACAGACCGGTAGCTGAGGAAGAGGTAGCAAGTGTTCCCAGGAGGATGCCTAGGGCGAGGAGGTCGACTCCACGCATCAGGACTGCCTCCATCAAGAAAGACAGGAGGGTTATTGTTGTTGGAGACTCTATCCTTAGGGGAACAGAGGGCCCTATTTGTCGGCCTGACTCTACCCGTAGGGAAGTCTGCTGCCTCCCTTGGACCAGGGTCAGGGATGTTGCCAGGAAGCTTCCCAACCTGGTACGCCCCTCTGATTATTATCCTCTTTTGATAGTCCAGGCGGGCAGTGACAACATTGAAGAGAGAAGCCTGAAGGCTATCAAAAGAGACTTTAGGGGGCTGGGACGGTTAGTGGATGGAGCGGGAGTGCAGGTGGTGTTTTCATCCATCCCTACGGTGGCAGGGAGGGGTACAGAGAGGACACGGAAAGCCCACCTGTTAAACACGTGGCTCCAGGGCTGGTGCCAACACAGAAATCTTGGGTTTTTCGACCATGGGGCACTTCACTCAGCACCCGGCCTGATTGCCGCAGACGGGTCCCTATCTTTTAGGGGAAAAAGGGTCCTGGGCCACGAGCTGGCAGGGCTCATTGATAGGGCTTTAAACTAGGTAAGAAGGGGGATGGGGCTGAAGCAAGGATTGTTGGGGCTGTGCCAGGGGGAACAATGGCAAGGCCGGAGGATAGGGCAATGGCCCAGCTGAAGTGCATCTACACCAATGCACGCAGCATGGGCAACAAACAGGAGGAGCTGGAAGCCATCGTGCTGCAGGCAGGCTACGACTTGGTTGCCATCATGGAGACGTGGTGGGACCAGTCTCATGACTGGAGTGCTGCTATGCCTGGCTATAAGCTCTTCAGAAGGGACAGGCAGCACAGAAGGGGTGGCGGTGTAGCTCTCTATATTAGAGAGTCTTTTGATGTTGTAGAACTCGAGGCTGGGAACGACAAGGTCGAGTCCCTTTGGGTTAGGATCGGCAGGGACAACAAGGCTAGTGTCCTGGTCGGGGTCTGCTATAGACTGCCGAACCAGGATGAGGAGACGGATGAGGAGTTCTACAGGCAGCTGACAGAAGTTGCAAAATCTTCAGCACTTGTTCTCGTGGGGAACTTCAACTTCCCTGACATATCCTGGAAGCACAACACAGCCCAGAGAAAGCAGTCTAGGAGGTTTCTGGAGAGCGTGGAAGATAGCTTCCTGACGCAGCTGGTTAGTGAACCTACCAGGGGTGGTGCCCTGCTAGACCTTCTCTTCACAAACAGAGAAGGACTGGTGGAGGATGTGATTGTTGGGAGCTGTCTTGGGCAGAGTGACCATGAAATGGTGGAGTTCACTATTCTTGGCGAGACCAGGAAGGGGACCAGTAAAACCACTGTATTGGACTTTCGGAGGGCTGACTTTGAGCTGCTCAGGACATTAGTTGGTGGAGTTCCTTGGGAGGCGGTTCTGAAGGGCAGAGGGGTCCAGGAAGGCTGGGCGCTCTTTAAGAGGGAAATCTTAATGGCGTAGGAACGGTCTGTCCCCATGTGCCCAAAGATGAGCCAGCAGGGAAGAAGACCAGCCTGGCTCAACAGAGAACTGTGGCTTGAGCTTAGGAGAAAAAAGAGGGTTTATTATCTTTGGAAGGACTATAAGGATGTAGTGAGGCTGTGCAGGGACACACTGGTGTGGTAGTGGAGGGGCACATCCTGGAGCACCTGGCATGCTGCGGTTCCCTCGCTGCCCTGGGGACAGGCTGGAGCCCAGAGGCAGTGGCAGTCCTCTGGGAGCAGCCTGACAGCCGGGTGGTCACTTTCCTTTGGAGAAATCTGATGGCAGGGCAGAGAGCAAGGAGAGCTCCCCAGTGACCCTGAGACAGAGTGGTTTCCAGCCCATGCTTGCCTCCTCATGCAGAACAGGGAAGCCAGATGTCCCATATCTTGTTTTCCTCCCCTGCAGATCACGTTGAATATTAGCTTTGGAAATTTACCAAAGAATAGGCAGTCAACTGGAAGATTTCATGAAATGAAATGTTTATGTTTTTTAACAGTGGCATATCTCTCCCCTCTTCCACAAACATTTATTTTTAGATATCATTAAACCAGCAGATGGGATCTCCCTGAAGACCACTTTTAATAATGTCACTTTGTTTTTAAATATAATAAATAATGCAACACTGATAAGCTAATTCAGCTATCTGGCAAGTAGTGCAAGAAGCAGAAGCAGCCAAAATGAAAATCTTCCAGTTGACTGCTTGCTCCAGGATGTGCTCCTCCTCTACCATACCAGGGCTGCCCCCCTCCATGGGCTCTGCTGACTGCCAATGCTGGAGGGAGCCCAGGCTGCCCCACGTCCTGCTGCAACCTCCTCCTGCTCAGGCCCTGTCTGGAAGGACCGTGCTGCCTGAATGGGCTCCTTTGCTGAGCCCCATGTGGGAATGGAAGGGGAGCTGGAGCCTTGCTGGGGATGGGGCACTGGCACCCGCCACGTGGGGGTCAGCTCTGCAGGGAAGGACTGGGCCCAGGTGTCCAGGAGGGCATGGTGCCCCCAGACAGTGGCAAGGCATGGACCAGGGCAGGGCTTGTTCCCTTGTGCTGTCTGTCCTCCCTCGGGGGCCATGGCTGGAGACTGGGACCAGTTTGGGGCCTGCAGTAACTTGGAGATGGTCTGGGCTGGAGCTGTGCTCTTCGACCGACCCCAGCAGCTCCTGCAAGCAGAGTCCTCATCCCCTGGTGCCCAGCATTCACCAGTGCTCCTCACGGCCAGTGCCTCCCAGTACCCTGATCACCCTCTGGACCTCAAGTTCTCAGTCACCCGGCTGTCCCCATTGCCCATGCCCCCCAGCTGTCCTCCTACCTTCCCAGTGTCCCCTAATGCCAGTGTCCCCAGTGCCTGAAGAAGAGGAGTCAGTCTCAGCGTGCCATTCACTCAAGGGACTGCAGAGGGGTCAGAAACAACTCTGCTTAGAGTCCCTTAATTTGAGGCTGCATCATTTCTGGGGGAGTCCTGGGGAGTAAGCCTGGCCTGGAAGGTGAGGGGCACTGGGAGACAGGGAGATGTGGCTTTAGGGGCTGTTGGAGGATGGTTTCTTGCTGGGGAACTCACTGCAGGGTGTCTGACCACCCCCTCGCCACCCCCTGATGCCCGGAGCCGTCCCTGTGGAGCTGCCCTGTGCAGGAAGCTGGCCTGGTGCCACAGAAGGTGGCTGGGTGAGTGGCGGAGGTGTGGGTCAGTCTCTGCCAGCGGTGAGCTCACTGCCAGGGCTGGTACATGCCAAGCGTGGCTTTGCCCCTGGGCTCTCGGGGTGGGGTCAGTGGGGAGTCCTGCGAGAGATAAATCTTGCTCCTCACTTTCTCCAGCCTCATCCGGGACTGCGTAGACCACGGAGGAAGATGAAGATCGCCCTGCTCAGCATGGCCCTGCTCCTCGCCATGCTATGCCTCCCAGCAGATGCTCTGGTGAGCCCCAGTGCTATGGGGATGGGTTTCATGCTATGGGCAGCTCTTGGGGAGGAGACCCCACTGACCGGGGGCACTGCGCCCTCCCTGACACCTAGACTTTGGCAAAACCTCCATGAAGTGTCCAGGTGATCCCTCCACTCCTGGTCAGGTGTGTGGGATGCCCAAAGAGTCTGGAGATCTCTCTCCAGAGACCTCTGGGGACCCCTCCTAAGCCCACCGCCCCAACGCCTTTGGTCCCCACCAAGGTGTCCCTTTCCCTGGATCTCCTCCATGTCCTGTCTAGGCTCCCCAGTGCCGTACCTTTCATCTTTCCCAATGCCTTTCTTTCATTCTTTCCTCTCAGTCCTCTGCCTTTCAGCTAATCCATTGCTGTGGTGTCCCCTTCCTTTCACCCCCACTTCCAAATACCCCCCCAGCAGTCCTCCCAGTCCCCTCGTTTTGGTCCACCTCAAGCCTCTTCCTTCAGCCCACACCAATCACGTCACTTGAAGTCTCCACATTCGCTCTATTTGAATTCCTTATCCCCTGACTTGCATCCCACACGGTCCCATAACTTCAGCACCCCCAGCCCAGTAGTCTCTTGGGGTCTGCAAATTCCCTCTGTTTGAATCCCCTCTGTGCCCTGTCTTTTGGTCCCCACATCCTTGTCTCCATCCCCACCCGAGGTCCCTGCATCAACAGCTATTCCAGATGAAGCTGGGGAGCAACGGGTCTGTGGGGAGCAGAAGGGATTTTCCCTTGCAGACCGAGGGGAAGCTACGCAGTAGGGGTGACTGGGGACACCTGTGCCCCCTTCATCCTTCCACATCAAGCACCAATCCAGACTGACCCCCTCATTCTCCTTTCCTAGTTCCTGAAAGACTCTGAGTTTGCAGCAAGTGGAGGTTTTGATCTGGAAGTGAGTATCGGGGTGGCCTTGGGCTGGAGCCAGTCTTGAGAACTGCGGGGCCATTTGCCTCCCCCGTGCCCTGCTGTCACCTGCTGGGTTGAATTCATCCCGGCGTCCACTGAGGTCTCACAATCTCTCTCCTGCTGCAGCTGAAGTTTCTGCGAGGGAAGAGGGCTCTGCAGCCTGTGCCTGTCGAGGTGGTGGCAGCAGTGCGCAAGAAACGCCTGGCTGCAGATCTCTATGCCTAGGTGAGCAGCACTGGTGTGTCGCTGGCCCCGCAAAGGATCCTTTACTCCAGGAAACCCCAGAGGCCTCTGTGCTGGGCAGAACTTGTGTATGGCTGGGGGCAATAGAGGGCATTAGCCATGATCTGTCTCGGGATCATGGAATCACAGAATGTTTTGGGTTGGAGGGGACCCTAAAGGTCATCTAGTTTCAAGCCCCCTGCCATGTGCAGGGACACCTCCCAGCAGACCAGGTTGCCCAAAGCCCCATCCAAGCTGGCCTGGAGCACTTCCAGGGATGAGGCATCCACCACGTCTCTGGGCAACCTGCGCCAGAGCCTCACCACCCTCCGAGTGAAGAATTTCTTCTGAGTATCTAATCTAAACCTACCCTCTTTTAGTTTAAAACCATTACTCCTTGTCCTATCACTACACTCGCAGAGAAAGAGCCCCCCCAGAGCTTTTCTGCAGGCCCCCTTTAAGTACTGAGAGGCCACAATGAGGTGTCCCTGGCGCCTCCTCTTCTCCACGCTGGACAACCCCAGCTCCCTCAGCCTGTCTTCACTCCTGCCCTTTGATCATCGTTGTGGCCCTCCTCTAGACTTGTTCTAATAGGTCCATGTCCTTCTGGTGCTGGGGGCCCCAGAGCCGACCACAGGGCTCCAGGTGGGGTCTCACCAGAGCAGAGCAGAGCAGAGGGGGAGAATCACCTTCCTTGCCCTGCTGGCTACGCTGCTTTTGATGCAGACCAGGGTACAGTTGCCTTTTGGGGCTGCAGGTGCACATTGCTGGCTCACGTCAAGCTTCTCGTCAACCAGCACCCCGAGGTCCTTCTCCTCAGGGCTGTTCTCAATCTGTTCTTCACCTGGCCTGTGTTTGTCCTTGGGACTGCCCCAGCCCAGATGCAGGACCTTGCACTTGGCCTTGTTGAACTTTGCGGCTGGACAGAACCGTCCCTGGGCCTTATGCTCAGTGGGCTGGATGGACCCAGAGGCTTAGCATGCAGTGTAGACAGGGGTTCTGATGCCATACAGACCCCCAGGATCCCCATAGGACTGGGTCCAGAGGTCTACGGGCACCCCAGGGTAGCTGCACGCTGGGCAAGGGGCTCTGGGTGCCGTACGGACCCCAAGAGAGCCGAGTCCTGCTGGGGGTGTATTGGGGGCTGGGGGTGGGCTCCGATTCCCTGCTTCATCCTCTGATCTTTTGAGAGACCTGGTGGGGACGAGGCCTCTCTCGTGTCCCCACGGATGCTGGGCGATCGCGTCTTGCGCTTTGTCTTTCAGGCCCACAGATTGTGATGAACCCCCATCCTGTCCCCCCCCAGTTACATGAAGAGACGGTCATCCCTGGATCGTGCTGCCAGATCCTCTGGATGATATGGCCCATTTCCCCTCCGTCTGCAATAAACACCTTCAGCAAAGCTACCATATGTGTGCTGGTGTGTGCCCCTCTCCTCTGCTGGTGACTGGAATGCCTGGGTCCTTTCTGGCAGCACCACTGCAGTGAGCAGACTGGCTGAGGGGAAAGCTGGGAGCCCAGAGGCCTGTGTTTCTCTGTTGGGCAGATTCCCCCTCCCACGCTTCCCACCTGCCATATGCCCCCAGTTTAGGGCAGATCGGGGCAAAGTGAAGCATGGGACTAAGGGTGGATTCAAGAGAGGTAGCAGTACAATGGAGGCTGTCTACGGGCCGCCCGACCAGGAAGACCAAGCAGATAAGGCCTTTTATAGGCAGTTGGAAGCAACCTCACATTCACAAGCCCTGGTCTTCATGGGAGACGTCAACCACTGCACATCTGTTGGAGGGACAGCACAGCAGGGCATAAGCAATCTAAGAGCTTCCCGGAATGCATTGGTGATAACCTCCTCCTCCAAGAGTGTCGTGGTTTTACTCAGGTGGGCAGCTGAGCTCCACCACATCTGCTCTCTCACTCCCATACCTCAAAGGGAAAGGGGGAGAAAATACGATGAAAAGGGCTCATGGCTTGAGATAAGGCCAAGGAGATTGCCACGGGCAATATGGACTCAGTGGAGAGAGATTAGAGAAATGTATTGCCTGTTACTAACAAGCTAGAGAAGTGAGAAACAGAGAAAACAAATTAAAACCACCTTCCACCCCATCCGCTCTCTTCCACCTGCTCCCCCCCATGCAGCACAGACAAACAGGGAATAGGGGTTGTGGTCAGTTTATGGCACTTTGTCTCCGCCACTCCTTCTCGGTCACTCTCTGCCCCTGCTCCAAAGTGGGATACCTCCCATGGGATGCAGTCCTTTCCAAAAAGGATCCTGCGTGGGCTTCCCACAGGCAGCAGCACTTCGAGAACTGCTCCAAGTATGGGTCCGTACCATGGGATCCATCCATCAGCAGCAAACTGCTCCAGGATGGGACCCCATGGGTGGCAGCTCCCCCCAGGTCCCCTGTTCCTGCAGAGGCTCCTCTCCACGGGCTGCAGGTCTGACCTGGAGTCTGCTCCAGCAGGGGTTCTCCACAGGCCACAGCCTCCTTCAGGTCAGATCCATTGTGGGCTCCTTCCCTGGCTGCATCATGGAGCTCTGCGCCGCTGTGGTACACCATGGGCTGCAGGGGGACAGCCTGCTCCACCAGGGACCTCTCCACAGGCTGCAGGGGAACTGCTGCTGTGAGCCTGGAGCACCTCCTGCCCTCCTGCTGCACTGACCTCGGAGTCTGCAGGGCTGTTTATCACTCCTCTGTCTCACTGGTGCTGATGTGCAGCAGTTTTCTTTCCTTTCTTAAATCTGCTTTCTCAGAGGCATAGACTGCAGAGCCTGAGTTTATACAATATCAGTCCCCCCCTTTTCTGGAAAATCTAGTAAATTCTTTTACTTAATACAAATATTTTTCTTCCCAGTCTTTATGGTATGTACCCCTCAATACCTTGCCATGCACTTTTGTCAAGGAAGCTAACACGGACATTCGTTGTAACAATTTCCAATTCCAAACAAATATTACAAAAGACAATATTAAACTTATTCTGGCCCTTCTTGGAGATGGGTGACCCAGTTGCTAGCCACCAGTTGACTGGAAGAGGTTCTTCACCCAGAGGGCTGTTGTGCACTGGCACCGGCTCCCCAGGGACGCCGGCGGTGGGAGCGGGCGCGGGGCCCGGGCAGCCTCCTGTTGGGCAGCCAGTCCCCGGGCAGCCTGTCCCCCACGCGCTCCCCTGGCCCGGGCTGCCTCTGCCGTCGGTGCCGCGGGCTGTGTGGGCTGTGTGGGCTGTGCGGGCTGTGCGGTTCGCCTGGCCGCCGGCAGCGGTGTGCGGGCCGGTGCCGGGAGCTGTGTCCGTGTCGGCAGCGGGGTGAGGGCCGGCCACCCTCGGGGCCCCGTGTGCCGGGGCTGGCCCAGGCGGGGCTGCGGGGAGGTGCTGAGCATCGTGTGTCTTGTCCCGTGGCAGAGCCCACCTGCACGAGCGAGGACGAGGAGAGCGAGGAGGAGGGCAGAGGTGGGTCCCGCCGGGCCTTGTCCCCCGGCGCCTGCGCGCAGGCTGCAGGGCCAGCACCCCCGGGGCCGGGCTGGGGGAGCGGCAGCTCCCGGAGCCTTGGCAGCGGGCGAGGGCAGCAGAGGCGTGGGCTGGGGCAGGGTGCCAGGCTCCCATGAAGTCCAGCCGGGTTCCTCGGGCCTGAGGTAGGTTGCGCAGGAGAAGAGCTCGGCGAAGAGCCGGCGGTGGCAGGGGCGGTGGGGGCAGATGTCTGGAGAGCCCCGTGCGTGTGGGACGGGGGACCCGAGGGGCACTGGGGCTTGTCACGAGCCCGCCCCTTCTCTAGTGGACGTGGCGGAGAGCTCCCTGTTGAACAAGCTGATCCACACGTCCCTCGTGGAGTCCAGCCATCACGTGGAGATCCTGCAGCAGGACCCCAACTCGCCTCTCGGTGAAAAGCTTTGAGGAGCTGCACCTGTGAGTAGGCGGCAGCCCCAAGGCAGGTGGGCTTTGGAGCTGCCCCTGGGCGCTGTTAGCCATTCCTTGTGGAACGGTCACTTTTGGTGCTTTTGGACAGGAAGAAGGAGCTCTTGCAGGGGGTCTATGCCATGGGCTTCAACAGGCCGTCCAAGATCCAGGAGACAGCTCTGCCAATGATGCTGGCCCATCCGTGAGTACCGGGGCCGCCCGGGTGAGCAGACCGGTACCACCGCCTTGGCTCCCCTGCGGCACCGTGGTGTCGGGGTGCCAGTGCGGGGATGCCAAGCCTCTGTGCTCAGCTAAGCAGCCTTTGCCTTGCAGGCCCCAAAACCTGATTGCACAGAGCCAGTCAGGGAAAGGGAAAACGGCAGCTTTTGTGTTGGCGATGTTGAGCAGAGTTAATGGTGCAGAGAAGTACCTGCAGGTAATGTAGGAAGGGGAAAGGCCATGCGGCAGAGGTTTGGCTGCACCCTCAAGCTGCTGTCCATGGACAGAGCTCTGGTTTTGTCCCAGTCTCAACGGTGGTCTACCCGCTGTGGCCGCTGTCGTGGGCTGGTAAACACCCAGGTAGCGTCCCAGCAGCAGGGAGGTTGGATAGAAAGCTTGGAAGCAGACGAAGCTGCCAGCTAAAGGAGGGTACTTTTACTTGGTAGCAGTGGATTTAGCCAGGCCCTAGGTATCCTGACGTTCTGCTTTGAGGAGCATCCGGCCAGCTTTGGGAAGCACATGCAGAGACTCCAGCTGTTTGCTGTGACTTGCGCTAGTTTCTGGTGCCGTAAAAGCTCCTGGGAAGGCAAGGCACCTCTCTGGGTTCAGAATCACCTACGCAGGCTGGGTGCTGCACTTAAAAGTCTTGAGTCTCAAGCATCCTATGTAATTTCAACTCTCAGTTGCAAGCTGGGCACAGAAGCAAAAGGCACTGTGCCTGAGGAAACAAATTTCCCTAGCAAAAATCACGGGATCCCAGAACGGGCGAGGTTGTAAGGGCCCTCTGACGCTCATCTAGTCCAACTACCCTGCTGATCAGGATCACCTAGAGCACACTGTGCAGGATGGCATCCAGGTGGGTTTAGAATGTCTCCAAAGAAGGAGACTCCACAGCCTCTCTGGGCAGCCGTTTCTAGCGCTCTGTCACGCTCACTGTAAAGGGACCTCTCCTAGTAGTTGCCTTGAGTCCTTTCTGCCTTCAGCTGTACAGAATCACAGAATTTCTAGGTTGGAAGAGACCTCAAGATCATCGAGTCCAACCTCTGACCTAACACTAACAGTCCCCACTAAACCATATCCCTAAGCTCTACATCTAAACGTTTTTTAAAGACTTCCAGGGATGGTGACTCCACCACCTCCCTGGGCAGCCTGTTCCAATGCCTCACAACCCTTTCAGTAAAGAAGCTCTTCCTAACATCCAGCCTAAAACTCCCCTGGTGCAACTTAAGCCCCTTCCCCCTCGTCCTGTCACCAGGCCAACCCCCACCTCACTACAGCCTCATTTAAGGTATCTGTAGAGAGCGATAAGGTCGCCCCTGAGCCTCCTCTTCTCCAGGCTGAACAAGCCCAGCTCCTTCAGCCGCTCCTCATAGGACTTGTTCTCCAGACCCCTCACCAGCTTCGTCGCCCTTCTCTGGACCCGCTCAAGCACCTCGATGTCCTTCTTGTAGCGAGGGGCCCAAAACTGAACACAGTACTCGAGGTGCGGCCTCACCAGAGCCGAGTACGGGGGGACAATCACCTTCCTAGCCCTGCTGGTCACGCTGTTTCTGATACAAGCCAGGATGCCGTTGGCCTTCTTGGCCACCTGAGCACACTGCTGGCTCATATTCAGCCGACTATCAACCATCACTCTCAGGTCCTTCTCTGCCTGGCAGCTCTCCAACCACTCATCTCCCAGCCTGTAGCTCTGCTTGGGGTTATTGCGCCCCAGGTGCAGGACCCGGCACTTGGCCTTGTTGAACTTCATGCAGTTGACCTCAGCCCATCGGTGTAGCCTATCCAGATCCTCCTGCAGAGCCTTCCTACCCTCGAGCAGATTGACACATGCACCTAACTTGGTGTCATCTGCAAACTTCCTGAGGGTGCACTCAATGCCCTCGTCCAGATCATTGATGAAGATATTAAAGAGGACCGGCCCCAGCACCGAGCCCTGAGGAATGCCACTAGTGACTGGCCTCCAACTGGACTTGACTCCATTTACCACGACTCTTTGGGCTCGGCTATCCAGCCAGTTTCTAACCCAATGAAGCGTGCGCCAGTCCAAGTCAAGAGCAGCCAGTTTCTTGAGGAGAATGCTGTGGGAGACGGTGTCAAAAGCCTTGCTGAAGTCAAGGTAGACCACATCCACAGCCTTTCCCTCGTCCACCCAGCGCGTCACTTTGTCGTAGAAGGAGATCAGGTTCGTCAAGCAGGACCTGCCTTCCATAAACCCATGCTGACTGGGCCTGATCGCCTGCTTGCCCTTCAAGTGCTGCATGATGACTCCCAAGAGGATCTGCTCCATGAGCTTGCCTGGTAC